GCTTCCCTTTTTACCCTACTGGAGAAGTTTTTGGATGTGCATAGGGATTTGAGTCTTAGAAGATCCCATTCATCTATGTTATCTTCTCCTGGTTGTAGGTCATCTTAATATTTTAACACTATTTTAGTAGATCTCCTCAGCTTGACTTTGGACAACAGTGTACCAGGTTATAGGCTCCACAGTATCTGAAAACATGATTTTGATTCCATACCTCTGGAATATAGCTGCCACATGGTTATAGCTGTCACTTCAGCCTTGCCTGTTGTATCCTGTGTCTGGGAGCTCGTTCCTCTTGCTTTGTGTCCTTTGCATTTTCCTTTCAGTCTAATTCCTTTACTGCCTCTGCTCATCTTTGGCCTTCTCCATCCATCCATTAGGGGATTACAGTGACGCGATTGAGACGCTGCTCACGGCCATTGCTGTTATCAAACAGTCCCGGGTCGCCAATGATGAGCGTTGCCGCGTCCTCATCTCCTCTCTTAAGGACTGTCTTCATGGCATTGAAGCCAAGTCCTACAGCGTGGGCGCCAGCGGGAGCTCCTCCAGGTGAGTTGACGATGGTGTTGTGGGCCTGCAGGCCGGGGCAGGGCTCCTGCAAGGAGCTGGGTTGGACGCACGGAGGCCAAGATAGCTGGCGAGGACCTGGCTGGGATAGCAGCGACTTCTGCCTGTAGGAAATGAACCCAAACACTTTGATTCATAAATGTTGTCTTGTCAGGAGTCTGTGTTGGCTGGGGCTGTGAGCTCACTTTGGGTGCACAGTCTGCTCTGGATAGTTAACGTGGGCTTTGGAGTCACACAGGCTTGGATTTGAACCCATTTTGCTGCTGCTGATTTCTATGAGCTTGAAGAAGTCACGGAACTTTCCAGGCCTCGTTCTTTCACCTACTTCTAAAAAGGACAGTTGTTAGGTGCCTTAGAGTTGAGTGTGACTTCATAGTGACCCAACAGATCTGAATCCTTTCAGATTCTGACACATTGTGTACATGGCAGCAGTCACTGTGTCAGTCCACCTGGTTGAGGGTCTTCCTCTCTTTTGCTGACCCTCCACATTTCCAAGCATGATGTCCCTCTCCAAGGAGATTAGTAGTAGTATTTTTATTAACCTGCTGTAAATAAAGAACATGTGAGAGAACACTTAGGAAGCTCATAGCACACTGCCTGAGCCATAAGATTGCAGATTGTTAATATTTCCCCAAAAAAGACTAGACCTCAAGGGCTGACAGTGAACAGGCCTGTGACAGAGTAATAAAACAGTGGTTTAGAGAAGATCAGCAGTAGCTCAGCCCAGCTGTCTGGGGAAGAAAATGGTGTTTGCCCTGTGAGTGAGGCTGAGGGTCTTCCTAACAGGAAGAGACACCGGTCCCGGGAGAGATCACCCAGCCGTTCCCGGGAGAGCAGCAGGAGGCACCGGGACCTGCTTCACAACGAAGACCGGCATGATGACTATTTCCCAGAAAGGAACCGGGAGCACGAGCGACACCGGGACAGAGAGCGGGACCGGCACCACTGAGCAGGTAGACACCCCTCTGCAGGCTCGGGGGCGTTCATCTCAGAAACAAACGTGATGGAGAAGCTTGCGTGCTTGCTTTCTTGTGTACTCTGGGGTCGGAACCAGCCCATAGCTGACCCTCCCCAGTTTTTCAGAGGTGGTTAATTACACAGGAGGAGATTGCCCATCCGAGGAGCTGATAGATTCAAACTGCTTGCCTTTGGGATTGTTGCTCAGCCTCTTACCAAGGGGCCACCAGAGCTAACTTCTGCTGATTTATGGATATACTGTTAACACTGTTAATGAACTTGAGACTGAGCTGTGTTTGCTGTTTCAGGCCTGCCTGAGCCTGGTTTCTGACTGATACCATGATGGAATGGTCAAAAGCGTGGAGTCAAGAGGCTTAGTCCAAATATAACAGGGTTCAAATTATAGCTTCACTTTTTTTTTAATTATTAAATTTTATTAATTTTAATGAACATTTACAGAGATTTTGGGTTTCTGTTTATTCATTGTTGCACTGCTTCGCCACTTTTTAAGCCAGTATTACCTTCTCTTTCTCATTAGTTAATGAAGATAAGAAAGGCAGCCGTTTAATTGAACTGCCCAGTATTCAGTAGTGAGATAATCCATGAAGAATCACAAGTACTCATGGTTCCAAAATTTACACACACTGAATTCCCTGAGAGTGTTAGACAGTCTTGTAACAGGATTTCATTACTGTATTTTAATCCTAACTTAGCACATTCCTCACATTCTCATACAAAGAATGCTCCATCCCTTCTGCAGTTGCTAAGTTGTGACTTAAGTGATTTGGAGGTAGTTTGTGGAGCTCATTCATGCAGAGAGCTTGGTTTTACAAACTGCACGGTGATCCTTCTGCTAGAAAAGAATAGGATTTCCATTATGTGGACAGGTAGTCCTTGAGAGTGAAAGGGGTGGTCTGCCCTCCATCAGACAATCCTTCGGGGGTGAAAGCTGGTTGACCACTGTGCTGCTGCTGCATCTCATGCGTTACTGCCTCATATGCAGCCACAAAGCTGTAAGGATTGGTCTACCGGTCCTCCTGCTGTTTTCCCTCCTGTTGTGCTCAAAAGTTGTTCTCACTCCATTCCTGTACATTTGATCCAGAATGGACCTAACACTTTCAAAACTTGATCCTGACCAGAGATTCAGAAGCACTAATTAAGAAAACACTGTGGACTCTGATTTATCCTTATAGAAAATGGGACCGTTGTCCTACTGCTTAAGTATTAGGAGAAGTCAATGAGACTGCGTCCAAAATGGACCCTGAGCATCCAAACGGAGGTTCCTCGGTGCCGTTTCAGCATGTGGACAGGTCAGGCAGCACGTGGCTGGTTTTGTAATGTTACGTTTTGTTTTGAGTGTCTTCTCCAGCATATGTTCTCCAGAGGCCTCTTTCTAGAATCGTGTGTAGAAAGGTGGAGTGTTGATGTAGGCTGTGCCATCGTGGGCATTACGAGAAATTCTTAACCTATGTCTAAGTCCCCCTTCCCTCCTGACTGTTCATTCTGTGTACGACAACGTCACAGTAAAACTGACCAGACCACCAGTGGCAGGTAGATTACAGCATCAGAATGAGGACTGGCTGTACGAGTGGAGTTGAGACGAGTGACTTGGGAAAACACTTCTTAACTGTGTCTCTAGGTTTTTTTGGTGGTGACTACTGATAATTTAACTTCTAAGCTCTACCTTCTTTTCTGGCCAGTCCAACTCTTCTTGGTGTTCATATGCTTCTTGGGCCCTCACCCATTGCTGCCATCTCGGGAAGAACTTGTAAAATCATGTAAAGTTGGAGCTGCACTGCAATCCCAGAGGTGCTTGGTTCAAATCCACCAGATGCTTTGTTGGAGAAGAACAATCTCCTCCTGTATCAGTCAAATCCGATTTGACGGTACATGCACACAAAAATAATAATTTTTAAAAAAGTAGTGCAGTCTAAGATCGGTCTTTGGCAGTTCATGTATGTTTGGAATTAATTTGAGCCAGGACCTCTTAAAAGGGACAAAAACACCAGCATTTCCTGTGTACATGAATACTCACTGCTAGCCCCTTGGGTGTTAGGGGTTAATGGATTTAGCTATGCTTTCTTACCATTGTACCTCCTGTTTCCAGAGTCTTTAAAACCAGACCAAAAATAAGTCAGAACAGTTATTGAACCATACTTAAACTTACATGTTCACTTGTAGCAACTTTTTTTCAAAGTTAATAATTTTCAGGGAGCTCTGGTGGCCTAGTGGCAAGAAACTGCACAGCAATCCCAGAGGCACGTGGTTCGAATCCACCAGACACTCTGCTGGAGGAGGGACAATCTCCTCCTGTACCAGTCAGATCCGATTTGACAGTACACATACAAAAAATAATAAAATTTTTTAAAAAGACCTTGAAAATTAATGATTTTTTTATTTTTCCACCCAAAGTCTCCTTTTCAGTCACATTGAGAAAGCAGTGTGTGTTCTCCAGCGCTCAAAGCAAGACACTTGCTGCTTTTTCTCTCTGTCCAAGGAATTGTTTTCTCAAAACATCCCAAACCATCTTGCTTTTACTTTTTTTTTTTTTTACATTTAATATCTTCAGGGTTAACAACTTCTTTTGGGAGAATGTTATTTTGGTGGGGTGTTTTTTGGGGTGTGTGTGTGTGTGTGTTTGTACTGTCAAATTGGATCTGACTGGCACAGGAGGAGATTGTTCCTCCTTTTCTAGCAGAGCACTTGGTGGATTTGAACCACATACCTCTGGGATTGCAATACAGCTTCTTTGCTGGGCCACCAGAGCTCACCTTGCTTGTTGCTTTTTGTCCAAGGCTTGCATTTTCTCTGCCTCTCTTTATCCCCTACATTTTGTTACTTTAGAAAATGACCATACATTTTCTATAGGCTGGTCTTAAGAGACGGTAAACTGTAATTTATGTTCCTCTCCTTTCTTTTGGTATTCTCCTTGCAGGAGTCTGGTTGGAAGCCAGTGTTTTTTAAAATGGACTTGCATCTCCTCACCTTGATCAGGACTAAAGGACGGAGGCCGCTCTGCCCCTTCCCCTTCTTCCAAGCCCCCAACTCCCTGCAGACGCCCAGGGAACACCCTCTGCCCACAGGATTGAAGATTGCTTGGCAGTCCTCCCAACCCCATGCCTCCTGTTTACCAGAGGAAAGAACCTGCAGACTGTGTGGTTGGGAAGAGTGCAGGCAGGAAGAGAGGACATGTCGGGCCCTTGGTCTCCATAGAGAATGGTGCTTTGTCCAAGGCAATGTCAAGTTTCTGATTCTCCAGGAACAGTTCAGTGGTGAGGTTGATGGAAGACTTCTTGCCCAGAGAAAATAGGTCCTCTGTGTGGGATCTAGGAGTGTGACTGGGTGTGCCAAAAGCTCCCCAGAGCCCAGCCCTCAGCACTAGAGACCCTGCCGTCAGCACTAGATTTGATTGGGGCCAAGAGGGTCCAAACCCCCTGCTAACACTCCACTTCCTTGTTTAACTCTTTACCTTCCCAGCCCTTTGAGGGACCATGAGAACAGAAATTATCTTAGGGAAACCTATTTCTCTTCTTGCTTTTCCCTCTCATGCATTGATGGTTTATTTCCCTGACCTCCCAGAGGGCTGAACTCTCCCCTCCCAGCCGCCTCCACGCACTTGCCACTCCTGATCAGAGAAGGCGGCCGGGTTGCTTCTTGCTGAGGAGCCTGGCACAGCCCCTCCCACCTGGCTGCTTAGTGCTTGGTCGCCTCTGGCAATACCCAGCTCTACTAGGCATTCCTCTTCCCTGGGACTTTTCCATGTCACCCCCGAAAGGCTGCTGCTCCCTTGTTTTAAAGGAAGCTACTGCCATTGGGAGGTAGGAACACTCGGACCTCAGCATTGAGTACTCTAGAGTCGAGCTGTCCTCGGAGTGGGAAGCGAGGCAGCTGGCAGGATGGGCTCCTCCCATAGGCTTTTCTTGTCCGGGTTGAGGTAAGCATGGGCTTGCCTCCCCTGGGTGCATATCTTTACTCGTGAATAACCTGGCATCAGGAGGTGAAGCAGGTCAAGTCACAGATTGGATGTCTGGCCACCTTTTGACTTAATAGCTCCCCTTACTCTGCTTGGAGATACTTCCTGCCTCTGCTGAGGAGCGTGGAAGAAGTGGCACCTGACTTGAATGAACTCCGTTTAAGAACCACTGCTCTAGGGGCTGTTTTCTGCACAGGCAAATGGATTGCTTTTAGCTCAGTCTTAGATTGTGATGTGGTTGCTGCTGAAGGAGGCGGCAGCACGGGGCTTGAGGGGCCTGCCTGGGGTTGCTGCTGTCGCACGCCTCTCTGGGCACATGACATCCAGCATGAGGTGGGACGTGGATGAGAGGTTGAGGGGCCTGGAGTGACTCTTGTGGCTCAGGGAGACTGGATTTGAGCCCTTCCTCTGTTCCCAGCATGTTTTCCACAGTGGATCACAAGGGAGACCCCATCTGCCCCAGAGCTGGAGAGGTACATGCCCTTGGAACAGAGGCTACAGGGTGGCTTTCCCCCTGATCCTCATCCCTGTCATCCCCAGTTTCGGAGCACAGCATCCTGCCCACCTGGCCAAGTGTGAAGTGTGCTAATCCTTGAGAGCAGCTTGGGTGTCTTTTTAAATGTAGAGAAAACCACAGAAAGTGACAGTTTAAGGAAAACAAATATATAGATACAGAAAAGCCGTTTACCTGGAGAATTTCTCTTCCCATTTATGTTTTGTTTTGTTTTTACTCATGACACAGTTTTTAGTTTTATTTCCTAAATAGCTAAAGGAAAAAAACCAAACCACCCCAACCCTCAAAACAGGCCACGGCCCCGTCCCCCTGTTGTTGGTGATTTGTCTTTCTGATAGGTTGGAAATTGTGTAATAAACTTGATGACGCTGTCAATCTTTTATACTGCATTGTATTTTTTTCCCCTTTTGTAACTATTTTAAAATAATAAATGGGGTGTGAGTTATTTTATGGATTCTGCATTGAATAGATTTGTTGAGGTGAGTCTGAAATTGACTCGGTAACAAGGGGTTTGGCTTTGTGGTTTACGGGGCAAGGGCTGATGGAGAAGATGCAAAGTGGTAAAACCCCACATTCTGGAATTGCACGTCGGGTGGTGGCTGTCACCTGTCGAAAGCGTACCTAGAGGTCATCTAAACAGCTTGGTTGGAAAAACTTCCCTTTACCCTTCATATTCCATGAACCACCAAGAGAACAAAGAGTCTTTTCCCAGGAGGGTGAAACCAAGTTGCTCATTGGAAGTAAAGGAGTCTGAAGCTCCGTCTCACACACTTTGGACATGTCATAAGGAGGGACCAGTCCTTGGAGAAGGACATAATACTTGGAAAGGTGGAGGGACAGCACAGGAAAGGAAAACCTTGATGAGATGAATTGACACAGTAATTGGGGTAACGGGGGTAGGTGTGTCAGAGGCCATGAGACCAGCTCAGGATAGAGCAGGGTTCAGAGTTCCAAGTCCCTCGACAGCACTTACAACATATGCTTGGAGAGGTGGAGAATCAGTGTTCCCAGGTGATGGTGTCAGTCCACTTTTGCATCCTGGGGGTCCCTGGCCGGCCACTGAGGGTGCCAGCTGGCCTTGCCTGTACACTGTAGTCTCAACGGCCTGGACCCCTTGCTACCATGGAGACCAGTTCCTTACATTGCGGCACCAGGGCTCCAGGCCTTGCTACCACTGTGCTCGGACCCTTAACTTCTGTGCTGAACACCATTGGACACTTTACCACAGGACCATGGTATGGATTAAAGACTGCCTGGCACGAGAGGAATACAGGCAGTCCCCGAATTCAGATGACTGCATTCCATTGACTCCAGTGTAAATCAACAAAAGAAGTTAACTTGTTTTTTCATTGTTGCCTGCTGGTACAGGGGTTAAATGTTGGGCCACTCTCCGAAAGGTAAACAGTTTGAATCTACCAGGCTCCTCCTCAGAGAAAGACATTAGACTGTCCTGTACAATTCCTGGAACTCAAATGCCTAAGTTGGAGGCTACCTGTCCTGCTGGCCTACAAATCCCCACCTCTCAAGACATTCCTTTGAGCTGAAAGGCCAGTAGTTGAAACACACCAGCTGCTCTGCCGGACAAAGGTGTGGCTGTCAGCTCCTGTAGTTTTAAACTTGGAAACCCTGTAGTGCAGCCCCACTTCCTCCTGCAGGGCCTCTGCAGTCAAGAGCCAACTCCAGGGCAGTAAATTTGGGTCTGGTTATTTGTGGGTGTGGTCCTGTTAGCATGTTTTCCTTTATGTCAGTGAAGTAATAGGGAGTATGGTGCTTAATTACTTTGTGTTAGATAAAGCTGACTGATGGAAGGACACAATGGAGGGAATGATAACATCTGCAGGCCAGCATGCACCAAGGACTCCTGCACTTACTAAAGCCCCATCTGACTCCCTCTAAAACTACACCCTAAATTTCCACTTGAACCCTGGAAGGCTGCGTCCTCCACTGCCCTCTGTTTTATGATGTTCTACTCCCTGGTCTAACTGCAAGCACAAAGGTGGCTCCAGCAATCAAGGAATGGACAATTTAGAGCGCCCCCAACCCCTAGACAAAGCATGAAGCTTACAGAACCACAGAGCAAATGAAAGACTCCTGCCCTGATCATACTCTAAATTCCAACTATTCATCCTCAGCGGAACCTGTTAAGAAATGGATCTTTATCCAGATGAGGCACCAAAGACATGGTTTCTAGCTCCAGCTGAGATGTGGCTCCTGCAGAAGGACTGTGGTAACTTCTCCAGAATCTCACCCCACCTTTCAAGCTCCAGCTGGTCCATCTGCGTTGTAGGAAGGTGACGTGTGGCTGAGCCCCTAGAAGAGGAGGGCCATGGGGAATGGGTCCTCTCCTGTTAGGTGATTTCATCAAAGTGAAAACTAGAGAGAGATACCACGTAAAGAAGATCCTTCATGAAAAGTATGTCCTCACCCTTTCATGCTAACTTGAAATTTTAAAAGAAATATTTATAAATAAGGGAGCTCAAAATTAATAAAAAAAAAATAGCTCTGGTGGCCTACTGGCAAGAAGCTACACTGCAATCCCAAAGGTACATGGTTTGAATCCACCAGATGCTCTGCTGGTGAAGGAGGGGCAATCTCCTGTACCAGTAAGATCCGATTTGATAGTACACACACACACAAAATAATAAAAAAAAGAAATATAACCAAAACCAATCAAAGGCTTGGTGTAGAGTATGCTTCCAATTACATGTGTAATGCTGTGACAAGGGGCTGTATCTGCAGAGACAGGAGAGAAACTAATGAATTTGGGGAGAGGCCGATGTAACACAGGACAAGAGACCTGAAAACAGGCTGTATCAGGTCAGGCTGCAGCCTGGAGAAAAGCTTCCCTCTTCACAGTCCATACGTTCTTACCAATCACAGCCCAGGAAACTACCCTTGTGGGTTGGAGGAAATTGTAGACTAGGACAGGAAAGGGCTGAAACCCCTACAACAGAAAATAAGTATTTATTATAAAATAATGTTTGTTTCATGATTACAGTAGAAAAATAATACTATCAACTACTAAAAGTTCAGGAGCTTGATCGCTGAAGAGTGCAGTGAGAGGCCTTTGCCTCCCCCGGGAGCCCTTGTGGAACAGGCGAGCATGGCATGGCCAGCGAGTCGTGGTTCTGCTGGAAGCCTGGAGCCCAGGGAGTTCACTCAAGATGCTCTGGCCACAGTGAATGAGAGCTGGAAGGGGCCAGCGGCTGGTTCCGGGAGGAGATGGGGCGGGGTCACTCTGCCCTTCTCATCCTGGAGTGCAGGGGAGGCTGCTGAGGTGCTGACTGGGAAGACGGTGCCCTGTGACCTTAGGCTCAGGCTGCTGCCCACATGTCTATGTTGAGGAGAAGCTGCAGCCTTTCCCTGAAATGCCGACTCACCAGTCTCCACTGATAGGACTCAAGTTCCACAAGGATGTGTGGTGTCGGCCGACCAGGGGCACTGCTGTCATTTCTCAACTTCAAATCTTGTCCATACTGATGACAGAAAAGGAGAAACACAATATTAGAGAACAGTAAATGAGTGTAATTGCCATGTTCTAAATCCTTTGGTTCGCCCAAGAACCTCTTCCCTAAGCAGATCACTGTCTTATGGTGAGAAAGGCAGTCCCATGGACATCCTTCTGCCCTGTAAATGCCTTCCAGACCCACCAGGCTTCAGAAATATGATGGTGCCCTCTCTGAAATGGGGACGGAACCCAGCCCTCGGCAGCAGTACCTGGAGAAAGCACACAGGGTGAGCACCTCAAGCAGCAGCTCGGAGCCACAGAAGCAGAGCGAGATGCTGTTCAGGATGGCCTCCAGGCGGAGCACATAGGTCTGCAGCAGGAGGTAGTAGGAGGCCATCACGGCAGACGGGAAGGTCAAGGCCACACTAATGGCAAGTGGCATCTTTCTCTGGCAGAGGTTGCCCTTTGAACCTGTCAGACATAGCCCATAGAGTTATCTCCAGCTGGCCTGCTTTGCCTGACCTGACAGGAAAGGTGAGTTGGGGGTGATGGACTGATTGGAAAGGCAAAGAAGGGTCCTGAATGGGGATGGGATGTGGAGACAGGACGGTACGGGGCCCACTGCACAGAACTGGAAGCTCTGGGGGGGTTACAGGAGGCAGTCATGCCCTCCAAGGGTCCTGCTTCTAGTCTGGCTCCCTCTCAAGAGCAGTGAGATCTTTATTTAGGAATAAATAATATTCTCAATGATAAAGATTTGTAATTATTATCTTAGAAAGCAGAGATCATGACTCCATTCCCTGGAGGCTGCCAGTTACGGAAGAACTATTGTTCATTCTTAGAAATTGTTTTATATGCTATGCTCATATATTTCTATTATAAAATTCAATCATACCCTACATTGTTTTCCAACTTCATTTATTCCCATTTAACTAAGTTGGACATCTTTCTGCACGTGTAATTAGCTCATTCTTTCTTAATGGCTATGCATGCCATTCCACTAACAGCACACTTGATATTGATAGATGTTTACATTGTTCCTAATGTTTTCATGTTACAAAATACAGGGCAATGAGCACCTTCACAGGAGAAAATGTTGTTATTATTCAATTAAAAAACCTTAAAATTGTTAGATCCAAGAATATGTATTTTACATGTTAATAACTACTACAAAAAAGTTTATTAAATTATATTCTCACAAGAATGTATAAAAATACTTGTTCCCCACACTCTAGCACTGGGTGGTGGGTGTCACGTACCACTGAGTCAAAACACTGCTGACCTTCCAGCAGGTTTTCAGAGGCTGTAAATCACATGGGAGGAAACTGCCCACCTTTCTCCCATGGAGTAGCTGGTGGATTCGAACAGCACGCCTTAGAGTTGACAGTGCAACTTCTTAACACTAGGCCACCAGGACTCCCTAATACTGGGTAGTAAAAATCTTTTACATCTTTGCCAATTAGTTGGGTGGGAAATGCTACTTTGTTTCAATTTGTTTTGAACCGGTGCCTCTGGGTATCCTGCTATGTGTCTGTCATTCACAGTTATTACTGTCTAGTGTGCCTATTTCTGAAGGGCACTCTGACAGCCTTGTTGTTTGGTATGGTGACTTGGAACCGACTCATAGCTGACCCTCCGGCAAGTTTTCAGAGGCAGTAAATAGGAAAAGACTGACCATGTCTCTCCGGTGGAGCATCTGGTGGATTCGAACCATGTGCCTTTTTGGGTTGGCAGCATAGTTCCTTACTGCTAGGCCACCAGAGTTCCCTCTGACCCACTGGAGGGTCAGGTATTATTTCATTCTGAGTTGCTGGTACACAACAATAGCAGCATTCTTATTGGAAGGGCCTGTTTACCAATTACTGAAATGAAGTCGTCGTCTCATAGTCATTTGTAGGAGCATTCATTACCCTTTGTATTAAGTGTCATGGTAATGTTTTCTCAGTTTACGCTTCAAGACTGCTTTCCAGGGATGAGTTCATAATTTGGCTACACTGTCCACCATCAGCGGCCACACTTGGAGGCTACCATGCTTGAAGCAGAAGGTCAGTAAAGGAGGGAGAGCCTCCACGAGATGGACTGAGGCAGAGGCTGCAACGGGCTCCCGGTGGGAACGGCACAGGACCACGCGGGGCTTTCTTCTGCCGGACACCCCACATTGCTGTGAGTCAGAACAGGCTCGACGGCACCTAACAACAAGGGATTTGCTCTGCATTTCCAGAGATAGAAGCCTTGTCCTAAAAGGGATCCTTATTCAGAAACTACTTGGGATTCATCTATGAAGACATTATAGTCTTCACTCTGAGCATGGTGTTACAACTGAATCCAACCTCCCAATGTCAATCATTAAAAGGAGCCTGGCTGTAAGGGGTGAATTACAGACTATCTCACTGTACCGCTTACTCTCACCCTTATAGAGCAAAACAGGCAGATTGTGACACACAATGAGGCAGCTAGAAATGTCCACGTGAGTAACAGGATATCCCACCAGATCCAGTGCCTGACTGGGAGCCTAGGTTAGGTACCTTTCCTTGTTAATCAAGTTACAGAATCCTTGCAGAAGGAATGGAAATGTTCTCTGGACAACACTCACCAAAAAACAGCCGGATGACGTCAATTCCTAGATAAAGGAGCAGCATCACCACATCCAGTACTAGGTTGGCTGCTGGATACGGCAGCAGGATACCTGCCAATGGGAAAGCCAGCTGACGAACAATACCTACCAGCACCTGCGAGAGCATCATACGCTTGGAAACAAAGAGGACACGAGTCTTCTCAGCTTTCCGTGAACTAGTTAGTGCACTGCAGTGTATGTTAACTCACGTGGGTCTGCAAAAGGAGGCTCAGTATTATGAGATTTTATTCCTCATTCCAGAAGTCTGTGGAGAATGCCTTTTCCAAAATAACCCGACATGCACGGGTCTACAGCTGAGGAATCGTTTTAAAGTCACCAATGCTCTCAGCAGGGAGGTGAAGGGCAAGGGTCAGAATGGAGAAGGCTGTGATTCCCAAGCTCAAGCGATTCTTATCCAGGGGCTTCGTAGGGGCTCATTCACCGGGGAGCCAAGGTGCTAGGCAGTGCTGCTGGGTGTGAGGTCCAAAGCAATGACAAGCAGCTTGCAGGTTACCAGTGGAGGTGGCTCTGGGCTGGGCTGGGAGGACAAGAGCCCAGTCTTACCTTTATACAGAAACACGAAGAGTTCCGACAGGAAATAGGTAGCGCAATACCACCCGTTCAGAAAGAACAGGATTTCCAGAGTCGTGGAGGACAAACGTTTACCTGAAAGATGAACAAAGAGAAGGATGGGCGGGGAGCTGCTCCCCCCTGTCCCTTACACGGCTCGGTGTCAACTGGGAAGGACTATCAGGATCCCTTCTGCTTGGGGACAAGAAGGCAACAGGGGTGCGTTTGAAGCGCACTTCCTCCCCGAATCCTCACGACTCTGGCTTCGAGGATGAAAATCAGGAGGAAACTCCGAAGACGTTAAAGCTAAAGGCGCCTCCAAGCCCTAACCCTGTAACTCTTCGGGAGGAGCAGGCAGCACTGGCCTGCGGGGGTCACAGGAACTACTGAGCGAGCCCCGCGCGCCCCAGCCAAGGAGCCTGGGTTGTCTGCGAGCTGCAACTCGGGGGGCTGCGGCGGCGAAACCCCGCTTTGGGCGTGAAGAGCGCGGGCTCTCCGACTCCAGAGCCGAGGGTGGAGGAGGAGGTCCGGGACACGCGGGGAGAGCGGGGGCTCGGCACCGACGGGGACCCGCGACTCACACACCTCGGGGACCTCACCTCGCGGAGCCATCTTCAGTTCCCATGGAAACTGCGTCCGCGGCTGGTGCGCCGCCCGGGGCCGCGGGGCGGGGCCGGAAGTGAGGGGCGGGGCGGCCTGGCGGCCCTTCTGTCCGCCCGCCGCACTCTATGGTTGCTGGGGGCGGGGCCGCGGGCCGCGCATGCGCCAGATGCATCACGTGGGGCTAACGGGCCCTGAGTTCATCTTCAGTGTCACGTGCAGCGGCCGTGACCCCCTGCGAAGCCGTCATCTGTAGGGCTGAGGAACAAGGGCAGCTCTGGCCTCCTCTTCTCAAGGCGCAGTGCACTGGGCAGAAGGGGCCAGTTGTAACAGCGTGGCCCTAACCTAACTCCCAGCGACCGCGGTGAGTTGTCCAAACACTGCAAATCACCCGCAAAGCCTAAACGATTAACTGTCAGGCCCTTCACAGGCGAAGTTCGAGGTCCGCTCTACAGTAAGTCCGAAGCACAGACTTCACAGAGCAACTCCGGTGCAGTAAACCAAACTGCAGTGCCCGACGTGGGCGGACGCACAGTGCGACCCCACAGGATGGAGTACAGCTGCCAGTCTTGACCGGAGCGCCTGGTGGGCTCGCACTGTCTACCTTTTGGTCACCAGCCCAACACAACCGCATGTGCCATCAGGGCTGCATGATGATGTTGTCTGCACGCAGGCTGACCTTACAGTGACCATCATCCAGAGTGCAAGCTTAACAAGAAACCCCTCAACATCTTTTCCTCAGAACAAGCTTTCTGTTAGCCGAACACCTAACTCACCACCCCACCAGGGTTCCTTAGCGTGGGGCACGACCGCTGGATTACACATTTTGCCAAGCAACTTTGTATCACGTTTCTACTCTTGACTCTGGGCTTGCCACATCCAGGGAGGTTAAAAGAGAGAGAGGTTTGAAAGGGGCTGCACATTGAGACTCTGCTGCCTTTGCTCCTCGGTGAAGCCTGGTCAGGCCAGTCAGGAGGAGGCGGAGCCGTGTGGCCAGCACTGAGGAACAGTCACTCCAGCTGAGACCATCCCAGGTTGGCCAACAGTCCAGTAATCACTGGCCATGAGGGAGCCGGACCAGCTCCTGGGACCCACTGCTGCCCATGAGCAAACCCAACTGGAATCACCCAAACTCTGCCCAGATTAGCTGAACCCCAGAGACTCAAGAAACAAACGTTTCCTCGTGCATCCTGCTGATTCTTGGTGGTCTTTTACACGTTGTTGTTGGATGCCATTGAGCTGACTAGAACTCGTAACAGAGACCTTGCCCTATCCTGTGCCATCCTCACCATCTGACATTCTCCAGCTCAGTTATAATCACTGCCAATCCATCTTGTTGAGGGTCTTCCTCTCTTTCCCTGACCCTCTACCTTTCCAAGGATAATGACCTTTTCCAAAGACCCCTCTTAACAATCAGCCCAATGTACTGAGACGTAGTTTAACCATTCTTGCCTCTAAGGACAACTGGGTGCACTTCTGCAAGCCACAGCTGTTCATTCTCTTAGCAGTCCATGCAGCACTCAGTTCTCCAACTCCACAGCTCTAAGACATCAATTAGGCGGGCAATAAACACAGACACCAGGAGATGTGAATTTTAAAATTTCTCTTGACAAAGGCACATGTTCACTCTTCTGCTGTCAGGTATCGCTTCTGATAGGGAGAGTCTGAACCAAGCACAGAAGGCTAGGGCTTCAGGGGTGGAGGCAGGCTGTCGGGTTACATCTTGAATGACTCAAAATACCTGGCCCTTCCAATATGGTGCACTAAGTACCTGACTTGAGGCACAGTCGGCCTGCTAGGTCAGGTAGATGTGCATGCTGGGATTTGGCACACTGACAGATTCACCATTTAGGAAAAAGATTTCATTTATTTTTCTATTTAAAAACTGATGGGGGAAGGGTAAAAAAAAAATCTCAGTGTCTAAGGTGTGGCCTGGCCAGCCAGTCAGGGGCACAGAAATGTCATTATTTGCCCCCTCAGTCCCTAGTGTGGTGCCAGGTGGGTGCTGGAAGGTTCTCCGTACCAGACGAAAGGAAAAGAGCCCAGTGCTCTTGGTAAGAAGAGGCCAGAGAAGCAAATGGCTGATGGAACAGACTGAGCGAGAAAGTCAGGGAGAGAACAGAGGCAGGAGGGAGGATGGGAACTGAAGTGAGTCTCTGGACAGGGGACCACTGCAGTGTGCAGAGAGAGGCTCTCCCTTCTCAGATGCCGGCACAGTGGCTGAGCCTGGCCTGGTTCCTGCTTGCCTGGGGCCAATCCCCGCTTCAGAGCTGCACCTGGGGCTCTCCACAGAAAGGAGAAGCATCCATCAGTGAGACAAGAGGCGGTCACCTTCGCACCTGCAGGAACTCCTTGCGCAGCCAGAGAGAGTCCTGGTAGAAGCGAGGGTCCCCCAGCCTCACAGCCGTCCGCTTGTAGAAATAGCAGTACAGCACTGCTGCTGCGGGTGACATGTAGACAAGAAGCCTCAGGGGACGCCCGTCACCGCCCACTGTCTCCCAGCAAGGCCGGGGTGGGGCGCAGTCACCTCCCTACTGGAGGCATCAGCTGACAGAGCTGTTAGAACCATCTGCCAGCTGTGACAAGTGGGGTCATGGTTAGGCCTGAGGCTGGTGAGGTGCTTACCTAGTCTCTGAAATACAAACAGTGTTTGAAGTCCATCTGTCCACACGAACAGGTTGGAGTTTTTCCAGCGTAAGTTCTGAAGGAGACACAAGGGGACAGGGAACATCAGTGGCCACATACGGCCTGAGCATCTGAGCATCTTCAGTTGTATGCTGCTCGGCTGAAAACCATGTTAACCTTATCCTCTTTTCTCTAAGTGCAAGGAGTGTTTCTCACAGGAGATCTAAGCTTCCGTTTATGCTCTGAAGGGAAGGGCCTTTTAACCCTGAGGGAGAATGTCTGGACTAAGCAGTTTATCCCTGCCATTTGATAACCTGTGTCAAGGAGAAGTGATTCTCAGGAGTTCAGCCTTGAAAATCTTAGGCTCAGCTCCTGCCAGAGAGAGGCTCTCAAGGTCTAATCAGATTACCAGCTTCATGGCACAAAGCCAGGACCTGCTCTGGCTCCAGGACCCAAAGCCGAGGCGAGGCTCTCCAGGCAGCACCCCGAGGCTTCACTGCTGCCCTGCTTCCTTCCTGCCGGCACTCCTCCCCAGTGGGGTCAGAGGGCAGCCTAACAAGGCTCAGACTGAGAAGGTGGCTTCTGAAGTGGAGTGACTAGGCTTCACAGCTCTGAACTTTAAGGTGTTCTAACAAAATGAGTCCATGGGGAACAAAGAAGACCCAAAGAGATAGAAGAATTGGTGAAGCAGAAGAAATCTGAAGCCATGAAAAGTGGCTGAGTCAGACCACAGGCTGCCTGGTCCTCCCAGTGTAAGTGATGGGGAGGACGCAGAGGGCAGGAAGCTCCAGGAGGCAAGGGGTCCTCAGGCCTGGCTGGTTCCCAGCAAACATCCCCTGCCGAGGGCACCAGTCACAGGACACTGATGCCTACGACCCTGATTTAACATCCACTTCTAACAGCTAATGAAGGAGATTCATCTTCCAGTTTACACTCTGGTATGGACAGACAGTGACAAACGCTGCCAGAGTGCTCCTGAGAAGCAGGGATGGCAAGACTCCATCCCACACATTTTGAACCTGTTATCAGGAGGGGCCCGTGCGGAAGACCCACCCCGAGGTGGACTGGACAGTGACTACAAGCACGGATTACACACGCACAGCAGTAGCTGTGAGGACGCACAGAACGGTGCAGGGTTTGGTTCTGCCGCACACAGGGTCCCTATCACTTGGAGCTGACCTGATGGTACCCAACAACAGGGTCAACAGTAGGCGGAGTGTTCCAGCAATTTCCTCCATTCCTGGAGGTGGCTGTCCTTCAACACATGACGTTGGGCACACAAGGTGTCTCATGCAAGCTTCCTGTAGCCCAGCTCTGACCCTGGGTCCATCCATTTCACTTTTCCTGTCCAGTTCAAACTCAGAAAACTCACTGCTGTCAAGTAGGTTCCGGCTCATTCTAAGCCTCCATTGGGTTTCCAGTGCTCTAACTGACCAGGGTCAGAGAATGCCCCTTTGTCTCCCATGGAGCTCCTGGTAGACTGGAACCACCGGAGATATGCAGCCTTTGGGGAGGTGTGCAATACCCTGTGGGTCTTGCCATCAGAACTCCCTTTCCAGGATTCAGTGAGAGGATGGGGTACAACTTGTCTCATGGGATGCTTTCTGTTATGCTGGGTCCCCAGAGGAAAAGGGTTCAGAGCTGCACGCTTACCATGATCCAGACATGAAAAGAGATGCTGAGGGCCAGGTACACAGCCGTCAGGGTGATGGTCCCCTTGAACTTATGGAACAGGAGATTGACCAGGCCAGCCTGGAAGACGAAGGTGTTGAAGAACATGAGGAAGATGATGATGATGTTGAAGAGGATTGCAATGTCCTGGATGCTGCAGACATATAAAACCAGAGCCAATTAGAGGCCTCCAGGTGAACCCAGGCTGGCCCCAAATCCCAGGACCAACAGAAAGTCTGTCTTTCCCTTGTAATAGCATCATTTCATCTTCCCTGGAGACATCGTGGGCTATGGTACCCAAAGACATCAAACTACAATTAACTACTTGCTAGCGCAGCCACTGAACTCAGTCCACAAACAAGGCTTTGTCGCTCTGACGCTCTCATGTCAACATACCCGCCAGGTACTGCTGAGAAGCTAGTTTTCTCCCTAGATCTGGAAGCAAATGCCAAGCTTGTCACACAATCTGTTACACAATGCCTTTCCCCCATCTCTGCATGGCTGGCTCCTGAATGCCATTCAAGTTTCCGTTCAACCTCCTCAAAGAGGCGTTCATTTAATACTACCTAACGCCCCCTGCACCTCCCTACTCAGGCTCTTTGCACCCACTGTATAACCTCAGTCACGCCTAAAAGTTAACATAATTTCGTCTGTGTCCACAGTCTCTCTTCACCAGAATGTAAACTCCACAAGGCTGGAATCTGTCCGATTTACGGTGCAAGCAGGACAGGGCTGGGCAGACCAGAGTGCACTTGCTCAGTAATGGAGAGCAGTCTGAGCCTCAGCTTTCAGTTCAGAAGGTGCAGCCTCTCAATCTAGAAATCACGGTGGGGGCTAAAGGCCAACCGTTTCCGCCTTACAGGATTCATCTGTGGGATTCAACCACGACGGCCCTTTTTTTAGCCTGTCATTTGGTAATCCTCTTTCATGGCAATGAACGATAATACTCCTAACTCACAGATGGGGAAAAATGACAGCGTCAGCAGTCTGTCCCTCATTTCCTATGTGAACCGTTGCCCTCATCCCCAGGCCCTGTTGACAGGATACAGAAATAGGGGCTGTGACCATGTCTGTGCACTGTTGAGGGTCCAGAATCATGTTCCACTTTATTATCCCCAATATGTCTGTAAATCCCTTTCAAATGCAAAATCACTGGTTCAGGGACCTCGGGAAATAGTCTCAGGAATGCTGAAGTCAAACAGCATAAAACAGTTCACAAAGACAAAGTCCTGTCCCCTGCATTAGACAGGAGTGACTGTGACCTCAAAAAGCTTTCTGCCTAACGTGCAACTATTGTTTTCTCTGAAACCAAGATGAGTGAAGAAAACCAAAGATGCACAAAACAATCGGCCCAAGAGGCCCGTGGCCCATGAGATCCTCAAGCTCCATGACCCTGAGGCCAGAAGAACAAGAGGGTGTCCAGCTACCACTGTGGGTCTATGAAAGGGGTCACAAGAAAGAGTCCTGGGTAGAGTAGAGGGAACTGTGAACAAAACGGAAAATCATAAAAAAGTCCAGGTTGGCTGCTTTGATGGCCACTAGTAGAACCCCTAAATCCTGACTGTCAGGCCCTTACGCTGTCTGGGTTCAGCTTTCCACCCCCACCCGCTGAACTCACATGAAGAGCACCAGCTGGATGACAGGAGCCATCCGGAGGAGCTCTGAGAAGGAGTTGACAAAGAGGTCATATGACAGCAGCAGGAACTGCAGCGACAGCACCAAGCTGTAGTTACTGGTCTGCAGCATCTTTGGTCTGCGCCGCTAGGCTTACAAGGGTGCATTCCACAGCTTTCCAGAAAACAGATCCTGGCTCTCTCCTGGGCCCTGATGAAGAAGTGTTTAGTCCCTCCAGAGAAGAACTGTTTTTCTTGCTCTCAGGAAAGGGCCTGTTGGGGCAATATGAAAGGAGAAGTTAGAAATACATCACGACAGTAAACCCTGGAAACCTACAACATGCATGGAACGTATCAGTAAACAAAATCAAGAACCACAACAAAACTCAACACACATTCCTATGAACTCTGACCAGCAAACCTTTTTCCATGCTTGGAACATTTTTAAACACTTTAAAGCTCTGAAATTCAAAGAAATCCAGCAGAATGACAGAAGAAAGTAACCAAGTGGGCAGATAATGAAAATATTCATAAAAATAGCAGCAAACCCTCACACAGCACATATACAAGGGACTCTTTTAAACTTGAGCATTATCTAAGCCTGACAATAACCCCATAAAGTAGCAGTTACGTTATCATTTCCCTCATTTTATAAATGAGGAAACTGAAGCTCAAAGACATCCAATTTGTCCAAAATCACACAGCTAGTCAGAAGTAGAGCTGGAATTCAGATGGGGGTGGCCTTGGCCTTGAGTCTGGGCTCCACCACTGCACTAGGCTGCCTCTTGTCTTACTGTCTCTGTACAATGAACCAATTCAATGCAGAGCTGACCCTCCGGCTATCAATCACATGAAAGGAAACTGTCTATCTTTCTCCCACAGGGCAGATGGAGGATTTGACCAGAGAGGCACCCACTTTGGGTCTGCAGCACAACTCCGTATGAACTGCTCCGCTAGGACTACAGAGCAGAAACAGCACAGGAGAAGGAAGTGGGGAGCAATGTAGACAGAAATCAAAGCTGAAAGACTGCTCTCTCAGGTTATGGCAGCACACAGTGACACCAGGTAAAGGGACCTGAGCTTTATTCCTCTATGTTCAAAGGTTCAGAAGCATCTGGGGAAGGAGGGGTCCACAAGGCGAAGGCAGGGGTAAGCCCTGAGACATTCCCCACCCCTACTGGAGAAAACCCACAAACACATTAAATACATTTTAAAATGCTTTGACGTGCCAGAGCCTGATTAAATTAGCATTTGTAAAATATGTTGCAATTTGCAAACTCTTGGTATTTATCTTATGTAACCCTACAGCTGTCTAGAGAGCTAGCCACTCCCATGCATACAATTCACGTTTACCGCTGAGGCCCCTGCGAGGTTAAGGACCTTCGTCCTGACCACCTCATCACCATGTCCACATGAGCAGGTGGAGAAGTCTCAGTTTACCGCAAGGATGAACGAGGGCTCTCTGAACCCTGTCCCCTTATCTGTAACAGTGAGAGCCATCCCGTATGTACCAGGCACCGTACACCAGCTTGTCGACCAAGGCGATTCCCTGTAATCCTCAGGACACCGCTACAAGGTGGGGAAGGCAGATCCCCGCTCCGCGGGGAGGACACATCCACTGGGTTCGGGTCACACAGGTTGCAAGTGCGGAGCCCGGATTGACAGCCAGGTCTGACCCCAAAGCCCGTGCTCTCGCCCCCCTCACGGGCCACCCCAGAGGGTTGCTGTCGCCTTGCCCACGTGGAGACGGTCCGCGGCTCCTCCAGGTCGGGGCAGGCGAGACTCACAAGGTAATGATGAGTCTTCAGTGCCCCGCTACCTGCCTTTTGTCCCCCGATATGTCCCCTCCACCCTTCCCAGATACTTTAAAGACGTGGGCGTCGAGGCTAAAAAAAAAAAACCAAAACCCACCAAAACACACACACACACACAAAACACCTCTACTAACAAAAGATCGCGATTCACCCCTGCTCGGTCCGCTCACCTCCAGGAGCCCTCCTCAGTTGTCATGGCAACACCAGGCCGGCTTCCGGAAACCTGCGTTAAGTCCCGGAAGTCCATGGAGGATGGGGGCTTCCCCGGGGCCGTTCTAGCCTCCGTCCTCGGCTTTTCCTCCCGGCTCTATGGCCAGCCCGTCGCCATGCTTGGGTCCCGCTGTCCCGGGCTACCTTACCCCCCACCCCGAAGCCCCCCAGCGTTGTGGCCTGCTGGCCAGAACACCTCGCCCACTCCGCGCGCGGCTTCGTGGAAAACCAGCCGCTGTCGGGGAAACTTCGCAGCCACCGGAAGTTTCCGCTCCCAGTTCATGGGGATCAAGGGACAGGCTGGCTTGTCGCGGCAGCGCTTCTGGTCCCGGGAACCTCGAGCCGGGCAACGAGATGCCCGGGGAAGAACGGGGTGGAAGACGCGGCACATTTTGACACCCCGGCCTCTGGCGACCCGCAGCTTGGACTTCATTTCCCAGGCGGCCTTGCGCGTGACCGGAAGTGCCGCGAGCCTATAAGAGGCCGGTGCGGCGCGTGCCGTCGGGTTTAGAGTGCTGGTTCCCGGCGCTCGCGGAGCGCTGACCTCCCGGCTCTCCGCGCCCGAGAAGCTCCGGCGGTGCAACGCCAGGTCGGAGGAGGTCCATTTCGGAGACCCTGGCTTTCCTGCGTCCCTGTGTGCTTCAGGAGTAAGAAGGAGCCCGGGCTGGGAGCTCAAGGACCGGGACTCGAGGGCTGCCTGTGCTAACTGCCTCGCTTCGCGCTGTCAAAAACTCCTAGCTCCGCCTTAATTTTCTTTTGGGAAATGGGTCTCGTCCTCTGTGCCCTTTCGTTCACAGATTATGCTTATAAGGCATGAAAGATAACAAGAGGGACCTTTCACCCGAATGTTTACTCGAGGTTAGTTGAGACCAAGGGCCCATCACAGGAGTGTAGACTTTTTTAGCTCCCAAGTTCCTGCAACTGTTCTGTTATCAGAGCCAGAGCTGCACAGTCTGAAGGGCGGGTTTGTGATCGCTCCGGAGGTAGGGAAGACCCAACCCAGCTGATCCAGCTCCTGATTAGAAATTAGCTGTCCCGAGTCCTCACTTCCTCATCGGATTCCTAGGGAACTGCCTTTGGAAGGTGCGGCATCCTGGGAGCCCCAGGAGCATGGACTTGGAGCCTGCACCTGCCCCTGTGCCATTCACATGGGACCTCGGTGGTTCTGAACCCGAATATAAAGGTTTTAGGGGACTCTGGTGGCATACTCTGTAGCGAGTTGCTCCGCTAGCCCTGAAGTGACGCATCGCTAGTGATTTGAATCCACCAGTGGCTTCGCGGGAGAGAAGATGGGCAATCTCCTCCCGAAAATCTGCAGCAGGATCAACTGTGAGTCTGGTTTTGACTCAATGTCAATAAGTAGAGTTGAATAGAAAAGTTTTAAGATTTGAAAGCCGAGGCAGGTTTCTAGGATTCCTAAAGTTCCCTCATCATCTAAGCAGAGTGAGGCACTGATGACTTTCTGTTCCTTCTTTTTACTTATATATTTATTTTTTTTAGTTTCAAAATAACATACATAGTAAGAATTTGGAACAGCCTTCCCTTCCCAATAAAAACCCTAAATGGTACCTATTTCTTAAGCTTGAATGGGACCCTGATTCAGCTCAGCCTGAGTCAAACCTTTCTACCCAGTGTTTGAGGAAGCGTACTAGGTGGGATTTTGTTAGATGAGGGTCGACAAGCTACAAAACAAAGTTCTCCTGGACCGCCGTCGTGTTCACATGCCTATGGTTGCCTTGCATTAGCAAGTGCTAATGACAGGTGCATGGCCGAGCCCCTTGGCCCTTTATTTGCGATCGAGCTTTCTGAATCTTGCCTTAGAGTGAGGCGCTCTGGTCGCACTGTGGCTGAGGCATTCAGCTGCCAACCAGGAGTCTCCCTGGGACATTCATGAGACACATTGGTCCCATAGTGATCCACAGCCTGGGAAACCAACTGGGCCGGTTCAGCTGTGTCCTGCGTGTCCCTGTGAGTTGGAATCAACTCTGTGGCAGTGGGTTAGGTGGCCCGAGAACTTGGCTGCAAAAAACCAGAACAGAATAATGGTCCACATTGGGCTGTGGATGTCCTGAAAATCATAGCATTGCCTGCCTTCAGAACAACTGAGAGGACACTGTGGGCATTTGGCTCGTTCTGTTCCTCATTCTCATCCTTTTCCTGCGTTTGCTTTTTATTTCAGGCAGAGAGCCTGTCTGTGTACTGTGAGCAGGATAACGGTGACCTCTGAGCTCTCTATCAGGAAACTGTCCCCATTGTCTGTTCTAAGTCACCCTCCGCAGTAATCAGACCTTTCCTGCAGTCACTTCTGGGGGTGGATAAGTCCTTTGAGGCTATGTTTACTTTGCTTTTGTCTCTGGGACCTGAAACACCCTCCCTCCCTGGCGGAATTGAGGGCTCTACAGCATGTTAGCATGTCTGCGAACCTAGGAGTCGCATCTAGGACTCGCGTGTCACGATTGTCTTCCACAGCCCCTTGGAAAGCTTGGTTCTTGCTTCCAGCTCTCAGACCTTCCTTTTCTCAGGAGTCACTGGCCGTGTGAGGTGTGGATCACCTGGTGAGGGCTCAGTGTCTGTACTGGATTTCAGTGAGCACCAGACGTAGAGGGGGCAAAAAGCCATGTGTAACTGAGGCTCCCAGCAAGCTAGGCACTCGAGCTACCAGCTTCAGGGTTTTGTTGATGAACGGTTGTAACAGCAACAACCAAAAAAGACAATTAGCCGCTTCGTTGCAGAAAGACTCCAAGAAGCATGTAATACTTTACTCTCACCACGTCCTTTCCCTTGTTTTCTACCTGATCTGTGGTTAAAGCAGCATGGACCTTAAAAATAGACAGGTTTGAAACTCTCACTCATTTACGTCTTTGCTCTAGTTTCTCTTTCTGAGCTTTAACTTCCTCATTTGTAAGGTGTATGTTTTACCTCCCAGAGTTGCTGAGAAGAGTACATGGCATAGAATGTGTAAGGTTTGAGTAGTGTCTGTTCAGAACTTTTGTGAGTTGGGAAGTAAACCTCTGACTTGTGACAACCCCGAGTGTTAAGAGAGAACTGCTCCACAGGATTTTCCTGATGTAAGGAGCCCTGGGGGTGCAGTGAGTGGTGCGCATACCTGCTGCTCCATGGAGAAAGCTGGAGTGATCTACTTGTGTAAGGATTGCCCTCCGAAAGCTTCGTGGGGACAGTTCCACTCTGTCCTGTAGGGCCGCTGGGAGTTGGTGTCAACTTGATGGCAGTGGAATTGGGTTTTGGTGCTGGTGGGTTCAAATCGCCAGCCTTTCGGGTGACAGTAGTTCATAAAGCACTAACACCACCCAGATGCCTTCATCACCTCTGGTGCTCTCTACGTGATCTCACTGTCATGCCTTCCTTAGAGATGAGAAAATTGAGTCCTACAAGGTGTAAGTGATTTACTCAGGGGTTATCAGTTAAGAAGAATTGAGGTCCCTGTATTTTTAACCTACCACTGGGTGTAAAGGTGAGAAAGCACAGGTTTTAGCTCCATGGGGCTACCAGGGTATTTCAGGTGGCCTCCTCATCTGTTAGCTGGTTCTGATCGTGGTTGCAGGCAGCCACGTTGTGTGTGTGTGTGTGTGTGTGTGTGTGTGTGTGTCTGTGTGTGTGTCTGTGTGTGTGTCTGTGTGTGGTGGCTGTCATGAGGCCTGGGCCCATGCTGCCCACACATTAGTGGAAGATAGGGGCCGTCCTGCTGCCTCCTACATTTGCCCAACAAACCTTCCACCCACCTGCTTGGCTTTTCAGAGCAGCTGGGGGTGACCAGGGCTGGCTTCTGAGTTTCTCAAGCATGTTAGAAGTCTCAAAATAAACCTCCTGCTTTCTAGACCATGAGTTCGTGCTTCCTCCTTTCTCCTTTGGACTTTCCACAGAGGAAGAGAAAGTGGAAGTACCAAGCCGAGGGGACACGGCAGGCTGTCACTCCATCCAGCGCGCAGAATGTGGCGACCTTGGAGTGAAGGCCTGCTCGTACCCCCCCAATAAGTTCCTCATCCGAAGAAGAGGGGTGTTTGTGTGGAAGGAGCCTCTGGGCCTCCTTGCAGCTAGCCAGCCAGTTGTTAGGTCCTGTTGAGGCAGATCCAATTCATAGCTGGCCCTCCAGCAGGTTTTCAGAAGCAGTAAGTGCACGGGAGGAGATGGCCCGTCTTTCTCCCGTGAAGCAGCTGCCATGTGCCTTTGGGTTGGCAGTGCAAATCCTTGTGACGAAGCCATCCGAGCTCCCAGCTGGCCTGTAGTGTCCATGTATGTGCAGTTCACATTGCGGTGTTGGCTCGGAGGGCCTGAGCAGATAGGTGATCTGGGCTGGATTTGATTCCTGTTCTTTACTTCAGATCTCTGCTTGTCCTGGGCGGGGGGGGGTGTGTGCACCCTCCTTTACCTTCTGGTTCTTAACCAATTTTAACGAGCATTACCTACCCTGGAAGGGGATCTCGTCCCAGGACTCTGGGCGCAGAGCCTTGGCGTCCACTCTGAGCACCTGTGCCGTGTACGACCAGACCCTGGGTGCGCCTCGTGCTCCACAACCAGAGATCTGAGCCCGTACAGCCATCGCAGCCCTCCTGGGGTGGTGCCAGCGATGAGGGCAGGGGGACCAAAGCAAAAGAGCATCCAGTCCATGGGCCGAGTGACATCAGCTGCCTCGATTAGCCAGCGTGGGAGTGTCACCAAGTGACTTCCTCTTCTCTTCTAGACGTGCCACAGCAGCATGGCCGTGGGACGGTTCTACCTGGCCTGCCTGGCGCTGGGGTCCCTGGGCTCACTCTGCGTCCTCTTCACCATCTACTGGATGCGGTACTGGCGTGGCGGCTTTGCCTGGGACGGCAGCATCTTCATGTTCAACTGGCACCCGGTGCTCATGGTTGCTGGGTTGGTGGTGTTCTACGGAGCAGGTGAGTAAGTGGGCAGCACGGGCAGGCCCTGGCCTGCAGAGACCCGCAGGTCCCCGCATCCCAGCTGCTCGCTGTTGGTTTGGGGATACGGGCAGGGTGGGTTGAGCCCTTTCTGTGTCCATGTGTCATTTGGGGGCAAAGTGGCAAAGTAGGAGGCACCTACAAAGGTCAAGGTCAGCACACTTTTTTATAAACGTTCAGATAGTAAACACTATGCGTTACAGACTAGGCTGTGTCTGTGTTGCAGCTAGTCATCTGTGCCATTCTGTCATGATGGCAGTGTGCCAATAAAACTTTATTTACAAATACAAGTGGTGGGCCATCTTTGACTTGTGTGGTGTTAGCTGATCCCTCCTCAAAAGAGTAGAAAATTGAAGCCTCTCTCTGCAAAGCTAGGCCCCCCGCGTGCGTTCTGGGCCCGAGTGAGCCTCACGTTTCCTCACTTGGAAGATGGAAGTAGAAAATAGCAGCTTGCCGCATGCACTTCACACACAACCTCTCCCTCTGTTCAGTGAACTCGTGAGGTTGGCTCTATTGTTATTCCCATTTTACAGATGAGGAAACCGAGAGGAGAAGCCAAACAGTTAAGGAGAGGCAGAGTCAGGATTTGGACCTAAGCTGACTGACCCCTGACAGCTAACTCTGGTTCTGAGAATCCAATTAGATGAAGTAATCAGTGCAAAGGTGTTTCTCCCTCGCCCTGCAAAACTGCTTGTGAGCCGGGCTCCTTATTGTGAGGACAGAATGGCAGGCCCGTGTCCGCTCTCCGCCCTTTGGCTACCTGACCCTTCTTTCCCTCCATCCTGGACGACAGGAGGAGAGACAGTGCTGAGAATCCAATGCTGATGTCCTGGCGTTTCCTTCCTCCCTCCCGTCACACACTGTGAAGGTGTGGGGTGGCCCTTTGGGGTCCTAACAGGGAAGCATCATAGAGGGGTCCAGCCCTGAATTGCTCTCTCCTGCAGCGTCGCTGGTGTACCGCCTGCCCCAGTCCTGGGTGGGGCCCAAGCTGCCCTGGAAAGTGCTCCACGCAGCCCTGCACCTGATGGCCTTCGTCCTGGCGGTGCTGGGGCTGGTAGCCGTCTTTGAATTTCACAACAGTCATCATATCAACCACCTCTACTCCCTGCACAGCTGGCTGGGGATTGTCACCGTCTTCCTGTTCGCCTGCCAGGTGGGTCCTTCCCACCCGCCGCCTCTGCGTTCCCCAGCTGGGCCTTCGCTCGCATCAGCACCAAATACTCACTTTCCTCGTTGTCTAGAGACAGCCGTGCAGGGCATCAGCAGAGCATCCTCTTGCTCCTGCCCTCACCCCTCACTGCCCACCTGTCCTCCTGGGTCCCCTGTGCTTACATGGTCCTGGCACCCACCATGCTGGCGCTAAGAGCCACCAGCTCCTGCCTGTTCCATGCCGGTGTTTCTGTGAGATGAAAGAATTCTAGCCAAGGTGTATGTCACACGAGTGAGGTGTTTTCTGAGCAAGCCCCAGAAGGGAGCGGAGGCAGACGAGACTGGCTGGGTTTGCTGGGACAGTGAGACTGGGACAAAGCCCTCAGCTCAACCTTCCCGCCCTTGCTCTGGTGTTGTGTAATAGAAACCGTCCAGGCCCCCTGAGGAGAGGAGGAAGCTAGGTGTGATGGTGGGGCAATCACGCTGTGAGGGTTGGATTGGGAAAGAAGGGCGCGTTCAGCGAGGGGTGGGTGGGATGACTGCTGGGGGACGATTGGTCACACACACGGGACTGTCAGCTGCTGCTTGCCTCGTGTCCGCAGTGGTTCCTGGGCTTCGCCGTCTTCCTCCTGCCCTGGGCATCTCTGGGGCTGCGCAGCGTCCTCAAGCCCGTCCACATCTTCTTTGGAACCTCTGTCTTCTCCCTGGCCCTCGCCTCGGTCATTTCCGGCATTAATGAGAAGCTTTTCTTCACTTTGTAAGTGGGCGGGGCCCCTTGATCCTCGGATGGAGGGAGGGGACAGGGCCTTTAAGTGACTCACTTTGTGAGCAGAGGGCCTATCCCAGAGAGGAGAGCCTCTGGGGTGGGCCTGTTCCTGAGGTGGAAGCAATAGAATTTTGTCCTTTTCAGTTGAGGCTGGTAGGTTGGTCAACAGTTATTTGTTGTTGTTGTTGTTGTTGTAGCTGACCCTCTGGTGGGTTTTCAGAGGCAGGTAATTGCATAGGAGGAGATTGCGCATCCTTCTCCCACAGAGCAGCTGGTGGATTTGAACTGTATTCTTCAGGGTTGGCAGCACAACTTCCCACCTAGCCACCTGACTCCCTAACAGATACTTCCTGAGCTTCACTGTCATCCGTGGACAGGCGTCCAGGTGGCGAGGTGCATTACGTGCTGGGCTGCCTGGAAGACCAGGGAGGGACTGCTTGGCTTGGAACTGACTGCAGGGGAGTGGGTTTCCTTTTTCCTAAATGGCTCTGTTTTTCACGGAAGCAGTCCTCATGTCGTCCTCCTGAGGAACAGTGGTAGTTCACATGGCCCATCTTCCGGTTAGCGGCCAAGGGCTCAGCCATGGACCCACCCTGGAGCAATTCTCTTCTGTCCTCTGTGGTGGTTATGAGGTGATATTGACTTAGTGGCAGCAGGTTTGGTGGGGATTTTTGTGTCATCAGTGGAGTGCTGGGCTACGAATCCAAAGGTTGGTGGTTTGAACCCACTCAGAAGCACCTTGGAGGGAAGAGCTGACAGTCTACTTCCAGAGCCCAGCCATTGACAGCGCCCAGTGCACCTTCCACCAGCAGCGCTTGGTCACCGGGGCCAAGTCAACATGACGGCAGCTCCTTCGGACTGGTGGTGGTAGTTGTTGGATTGGGGTTTTACATAATTTTTTTTTTTTTTTTACTTTTTGGTGAATCACAAACTGTTCCAAGTGCTTCAATCCTCTCAGCTGCCCGACGGCATTGGTACTATTTCCTTTGCATTTCCTGTGGGCACTGAGACACAGAGAAGTTAAGTAACTTGCCCAGGGGCACAGAGCCAACAGCAGAGTGGGAACTTGACAGGCAATTTGACCATAAATGCTGCGTGCCTGCCACACCTGTCCTCTGGTTATGGGTCAGTGTCACCTTGAGGCATTGGGCCTCTGTGCTCTTTTAGATAAAGGGCCTTTTATAGACGTGTTTTTGCAGCAGAGACTTAGAAAGTGAAAGTAGGGTAAAAGGTAACGCGTTCTGAGTCCGAGGCCCCGGGAAGGAGGCTGTCCTCGCCCTCTCTCGGTGGCACCACGTTTCCTGCTGGGTGGCATTGGTCCCTCGAGTCCATGCCCCCCTCCCCCATTTTGTCATCTTCAGGAAGAACAACACCAAGCCCTACTCCAGCCTGCCCGAGGAGGCGGTCTTTGCCAACAGCACCGGGATATTGGTGGTGGCTTTTGGGCTGCTGGTGCTCTACATCCTGGCTTCATCGTGGAAGCGCCCGGAGCCGGGCTCTCTGACCGACACACAGGTAAGGGCCCCTGGCCCGTGTTCCAGGGGGAGGTGGGGCCAGGGCCGGCTTGAACCTCAGCAGCCCAGTACGTGAAATAAAAAACAATTAGAAAAGGCCAGCCCAGTCCCATTCGCCTGAAGGTAGCATCAGGTTGACCGATGGGGACACATCCTGGTGGTGACGGCAACCAGGGGCTGTGGCCCATCTGCCAGGGCATTTAGAGAAGGGTGTGCAGCCTTGTGCTCTGTAAGGAAGGGCTCACACGATGGGAGTGCGTGCGTGCGGATTTCTGTTTGACCAGCACTGGGGCTGGGCTGGTGGAGACAGAGCTGGGTGGCAAGTTGCACAGTTGCAGAGGGTCTTCGGCCACTCGGCCTCCTGAAGGGATATTATGCAATGGTGACCAGGCTGAGGGGCCTTAGGGCTTCCCTGGAGGGTCTGGTGGCTTGGGCAGGGACCGTCTGCAGCTTAGGGATGCCGGCCGCTCACCCTGTGCTTCTGTCTTTCCAGCCCCTGCTGCGTGGCGGGCAGTGAAGCGGGCAGGGCCCCCAGAGCAGCCAGGGCTGTCCTCTGTGCTCCCTCAGAAGCTCTCTCTACTCAGGGGTCCTGGTTGGTGTCGGCAGCAGACTTTGTGTGGGTGCTGAGCCCACACTTCTCGCAGCCTCCCGTTGGGCTCTCCCTAGCCACTGGCAGCCTGTCTGCTTTTGCTTGGTGGTTTGGCTTCCGCATCTTTCTCATGTCAGCATCTCAGGACCCCCGTGTCCACGAGGGCCCCCCACCTGGCTACCTCGTGCTGCTCCAGCGCTCTCTCTGAAGGCGGCAGGTGGGCTTCACCTGAAAATCTCTAGGGACATGGCAGAAGATCCTGATGGCTCACGTGAGCTGGGCCCCCAGTGCTGTCTGCAGCGTGAAAAAGGAGGGCATGCCCTGTGCGGGTGTCCCCTGCTGTCCCACCCAGCTCCACCAGCCTGCCAGACGGGAGAGGCGTCAGGAGGTGGCTGAAGGGAAGGAAGGAGGGCACTGAAGCCCTTCTGCAGGGCAGCACTGTCAGCCGAGCTGATCCCATGACTGCATCTCGTGCCTGTGTGATGTGACCTCTTGGTTCCCTCCACCTCTTCTAGCTACTCCAACTTATGTGTGAATCTCATCGCTCCCCTGTGGCCTACAGGCCCCTCCCCTCAGGGGACCCCGAGAACCCTGGTAACTTCCTCTTCTGGGAACAACCTGTCCTGGGATGTCCCTGCGGGGGATGGAGAACAGTGGGGACTGCAGACTTCCCTCTGCTGGATTAGGCTCAGGGCCGAGACCCCTAACTGCTCTTGGCAGGGGCCTGATTTCAGTTCTCTGCCTCCCTGTGAAACTATGATGCCAAGTTGGAGTGTGGTGTGCCAAGCCCTGCATGCCTCTCCCACCTTTAGGGATTGGCAAGAGGCAAGATACTTGCCAGGTATTAGGGTGTCACCGTCTCTCCTGTGCCCACAGCAGCTGCTTGCCTGGCTAAAGCCCCACCATCTGGGGCATGTCAGAACCTGAGCTGATGTTCTGGTGCGCTGGTAGTTGGAGAGGCAGGAGTCGTGGCCCTGTGCTGTGTGCAGCCGACATTGCTTCGCCTGTCTTTGCCCCCCTGTGAGCCCTGTCTGGGCCCATGGCCCACGCTGCAGCACTCAGGAGACAAGCAGCCTGACTCGCAGGTTCGAGCCTGCATACCTCCAGGCAAGCAGATGCTGGCAGGAGGCTGCACATTCCAATTGGGACAAAGCCACGAGGTGGCCACTGGCACCTGTGTCACGAAGGCAGTCCGCTTGTTTATGAAAGAGCTTGATTTTCATTAAACACTTCAACAATCTAAGTCGCCGCCTCTATGTCTTTTTTAGCACATCTGCGTGAAGTGGCATTTGTTTAAATGGACCCTGGAGGAGCCTGTGAAAGGTTGGGGACAGGTCTGATGCTCAGACTGGGGGAGAGCAAGCCAGGCCTTGAGATCCCCAGAGGACTGTCTGAATGGAATTAAAAGTGCTGGGGTCACGTACGTGTGGCTGGTCCTTGCTAGCTGGTAGCTTTTGAACACCTGGAAAATTCTAGTATCTTTCCAACTTAAAAACTCAAACTCATTGCCGTGGAGTTGGAGCTGACACAGAGCTGAGGCAAAGCTAGCTGACCCTCTAATGAGTTTTTTGAGACCACAAATCACATGGAAGGAGACTGTCATTTTACTTGGAGCTGCTGGTGGATTTGAATCGGTCACCTTTAGGTTAGCAGATCAACTCCCCATGGCCTGTGCCCCCAGACCTACCTTTCCTTCTTACAGATTGGGAAAACACTCAGAACTGTGAGTGGCTTGTTCAAGGTTCTCAAAATCCACAAGCTGGTGTCAGACGCCATTCACTATCTCAGCAATTGGGACAGTTTGGCCAGGGAACACCAGGCAGCTCTGGGCAGAGAAGCACCAGGATTAGGGGCAGGGGTCTGGGAGCTGCAGGGAAATGGGGAGAAGCAGGCCCTCCCTTTTCTAAGGTGCCCTAATTTTAGCTGCCACCTAGTGGTGGCGCAGTAAAGCCTGCAAAAGGTAGGACCTGTGTTAAGGCACAAACCCAGCAATAAACGCTGGGTGCCGGAGTTCAGCTCCCAGCAACTCTGTGGACAGCGGCCCTGACCTGTCCTGTCCTGTGCCGTCCGCATCATCGCTGACACACTTGAGCCCATCGCAGCCACCAGTCCATCTCATTGCGGCTCTTCCTCTCTCACTGACCCTCCGCCCTTCCAAGCACGATGTCTCTCTCCAAAGAATAGCCCGAAGTATGAGAGATGAAGTCTCGCCATCTTTGCCTCTAAGGAGCACTCTGGCTGCGATTTTTCTTTGGCAGTCCATGGGATAGTCTAAAAAGGATTACTAGAAGCCAGTGTGGGGGAAACCCTGCAGACCCGGGAAATCAAGGTGGTCTGAGGCGGTCTGCATTCAGGCTTGCACAGGTTTCTGGGCTGCCGGCCTCGGGCGGCAGCTGCCACATGTCCACCGTTCCTGTCAGCAGTGCATGTGGGACCTTCCCACATCCCCCATTGGGGCACACTGTGATCAGACAGATTCCAAGAAACTGAATAATCTGTGAGCTCGCGCAGGTCGTGTGAATCGGGCCATGCTCAAGGCTGGGTCCGAGGACACAGCCAGGCCATCAGCCACCCTCCCCACCAGGGACAACCATGCTGCCTCCACTACGCACCAGGTTCAAAGCCCCTCCTGGCCAGCGCTGCTCCAGGAGGAGACCCGGGGGCTGACTCAGGGCAGTTTCTCGTTCCTTTTCCTTCTGGTGCCCCATCTGCCCGCGTCATTCCCACACAAGCACAGGGCTCTGCTCCTTTGATGCCGAGGAACGCTTGCCTGCCTGCCCTGTGTGCATGTGTGTGGGGTGTTGACTGGAAGGACAGGACTGGAGAACGGCCAGGGCCAGCCCAGCTGAGTAGGCCCTGCCTTAGGGTCGCAGCTGGTGAAGAGTTGCCCACTTGGAGACAGTCATATCCAACCTTGGTTCTCGGGCCACAGGTGGGCCCACCTGACACACACCTGGAAGAAGATCAGTTGCTGTGCTGTCTGAATTGGGTTTATTTGTTTTCTTTTCCCACTGGATTAAGTACAGGCACAAAAGCCCTTTCAAGGGGAGAGTCTTAAGACCAGATGCGTGCTGGCAACTAGAGGCCACACTACTGGCCCAGAGGAAAGGCCTTATCACCAAAGCTCAGAGCTGGGCTTGGGTGCCCAGGGACCCCACCCACCCAGCACCGGGATGGGCAGTGCTGACAGGCACATCACCCTCTCTGAGCGTTTATCTGCAGAGTGGAGTCACTCTAGGGTGTGGGTCGGGGAGAGAGTACTCGTGACAGGGTGGGGGCGAGCAGAGGCAGCGGGAAGTGAGGGCAGCCAGCTCTGATGCTGCTGAGGAGCCGAGGCCCTGGGCGGTCACACCCCCCGGCTGCCCTGCAGGACCTCCAGGATGGCGCGGAGAATGGCGGCAGCTGCCACGGCCCCAGGGTCCGGCTGGTCCAGGCGCGCGGAGCTGATGTAACTGGCCCTTCCGGCTCCAGCTTCCATATTCTTGGTGGCCTCTGCTGCAGCTTCTGCACTCTGAGGGGGTGGGGAGAGAGGAGCTCGCGGACAGGCCTCCAAGCCTCCCTTCCCACCCACCGTGGGCAGAGCGCCTCTGCCATGCATCCTGGCCCTCGGCCCTGGGTCCTAGCACTGCCAGCCCCTTCCCTGTGTCTACCTGGCGTCTAGCAGGGGCCGGAGCCACCGTGTACTGCGTAGCAGGCATCCATCTCCTGTCAGGCTCACTGCAGCCCCGTGAGCTAGGTACTACCATTCTCTCCATTTTCAGGGGGAAATGGGCCCTGGAGGTCCAGGCTTAGGGTCACGTGGAAGCGAGAGCCTGGGGGCTGCTGGCTGCCTGTGGATGGTGGCCAGCCTCACTGACCTTGACGGCCTTGGTCAGGATCTGGAACAGGTCAGCGCCTGGCCTCTTCCAGGCTTGCAGCTCCTGTCCTGCTGCCCACAGAGAGTCCAGCTGTGCAAGGCAAGAGAGGCACTGAGCAGCGGCCCGGCCACTGAGGGTGGGCGCTAGGGGTTCTGGGCTCAGAACAGGGTGAGGCCAGAGCCGCAGTCTGTATACATACCATAGTCCTGTCCCCGGGAGCAGCTTTTCCATACCTGGCAGGAGAGAACAGAATGAAGGGATCCCTTTGGGGGTGAAGACAAGGCCGGGCTCCCCCACCCTGCCCTGGTGGGAGGCGCAGGTGAGCGAGACTCACTTCTGCATGGCCTCCAAGCCAGCATCCATGGCAGCAGACCAGGTTGGGAGGTCAGTCTTGGCCTTGAGGGGCTGGGCAGCCGCAGTCAGGAACAGGCCATAAAGCTGCAGAGGGGAGAGTGCTGAGCACCAGGAGCCAGCCGGACCTGGCCACATGGCACCCCTCCTGCTCAGCCTGGGCTCCAGCCATACTGCTCCCCGCCTGCCCCCAGCCATGCCACACCCCTCCTGCCCAGATGCTGCCCTGACCTGGCCGTACTGCACCTTTCATGCCTGAGAGCTAATCCAGGTCTTAGCCATACTATCCTCTCCAGCTCAGAAACTGAACCAGCTCCAGTCCTACCAAGCCCCTCCTGCCCAGAAGCCAGCCTGGCGCCTGGCACCCCGGCCATGCCGCACCCCTCCTGCCTGGGAGCCAACCTGGCACCCCGGCCACGCCGCACCCCTCCTGCCCGGGAGCCAGCCTGGGCCCCAACCCCACCCTCACCGCGCCGCACCCCTCCTGCCCGGGAGCCAACCTGGGTCTGGTTGGGCCATGCCGCACCCCTCCTGCCCTGTTCGGGCCATACTGCACCTTCCTGTCCACAGCCACACTACACCCCTCCTGCCAGCTCTGTGACCCACTGGGGCTGCCACACTCACCGCCCCTGAGGAGCCTCCCATCTTCTCCAACAGCAGGACGGACAATCTGGAGAGTAGCTGGGAAGGACTGGCAGGGGCTGGGCCAGCCTTCAACCACTCCTGGATGGCTGCAGGTGAGAGGTGGGCAGAGGCTCAGAGACCCTTCCATCCCACGTGCTACGTCTGGACCCAACCAAGTCTCCAGATCTCAAGGAGCCCAAAGGGACTTCTGGAGACCAGGCTCCCAGTGGTCTCTCTTTGTACTCGTGAGCAGGGGTGGAAATGACATGTGGGAGAGCCCAGCAGTCACCCTGTGGGTGAGGCCTGCCTGGCACTGTTAGCCTCAACCTGACATTTCACGTCCTGGACCCCCTCCTTTCTCAGCCCCCCTGCACTAACAGCCTGCATTTTCTTGTTTCAGCTTGCTCACTGTTGGTTTCTCCGTTAGAATGTGAGCCAGGAGGCCAGAGATCTCTGTCGGCTTTGTTCTCTGGAGTCTAGAACGGTGCCTTGTCCACAAGAGTCTGTGGGGTCAACGCCGACCTGGGCCAAGCAGACCTGCCCACAGGGCTTGTTGAGATGGTCAGTATTTAAAGAAACACATGGTCACATCTTTCTCCCGTGGAGCAGCTGGTGGATTTGAACTGCTGAACTTTCAGTTCATCGCTCAATGCTTAGCTTGCTATGCTACCAGCCCTCCTTGCCTGGTCCCTCAAACTCAAACTCAAGACCACTGAGTCAGTTCTGAATCACAGCACACCATCTTCCTGGGCTGAAAATCTTCACAGGAAGACACTGCCCAGCTCTCTCAGGGGCGGCTGGTGGGCGCGAACTGCCAGAGTTGTGCAGCCTTTTGGTTACAAGCATAACACACTAAGGGCTACGCTACTGGGGCTCTTATGCCCGCACCTGGTGGTGATAAATACATTCTTCTTGGAATTGGACCAATAAGATATTCTCGCTGGTCTGGGTAAGGTGAGAAACAAAAAGCTGACAGGGTTTCTGTTGAAGTTAAAATCGTTCCCCATAGAAGGATCCCAAAATCGTTCCCCATAGAAGGATCCCACTCTATTCTGAGGTAACAGCCTTCCTGCATTGACAGTGCTAGAGGTCGTTTTCCTTAGGAAAAGTGGGTGAGACTGAACTATGAACCTTGGCAGAATAAAAGCTAGGAGGTCTGTGTCAATACCTAGAACTCTGAGGATGTTCTGGTTCACGACGTGTCATGCCAGCCCCCCTCCTGACCCCCGTGGGGCCTGGCACCCACCCCGGGCAGCGCGACTGTGCGTGGTCCCGCAGTCCCCGTCACCAGCAGCCCGGTCCAGGGCGTTGAGACGCTCCTCCAGGCCCAGCAGCGTGGTGCACACCCGCTCCAGCACCAGCACCATCTGCTTTGAGGATGCACCTGGAAAGGAGGACTGTAGGGAAGAGGCTGCCCAGGCCCGCTCGCAACCAGGCTGGGCAGTGTAGAAGGTGCTGGACCCTGCCAGCCGCCCACGCCCTCACCCCTTAGGTCTCAGCCCACCAAGGAAGCCCACCCTCCCCAGCAGCAGGGGCTGGTACCTCCTCCAGCCGTGGAGACAAGGGTCTCTGGGGGCTCAGCAGGGGCTGCTCGGCTCCGTATCCGCCCAGTCACAGTGACCTTGGCCGTCACGGGCCATGCCGATGCGCTGGTTTCAGCATCTGAGGACCAGCAAGAAAATGGGGTCATCCCCCAGAGCAGTCAGCTGGCCAGGAACTGAGTGGGGCTTGGTTTCCCCACCAAGGTGGCCCTGTTTCCTTAGCAGATGGCCTCTTGTCTGGAGGAAGAGGAGTCACCCCAAGGAGCATGCATTGAGTGCCTACTGTGTACAAGGGCAAGGGGCCAGGCATCTGAGGAGGATCTGGATCCCAACTCGTCCAGCCCGTGAGAGGCGGTCGGAGAAGCCAGGCGAGGCTGTCCCAGGACCCAAGGCCTAACTTCCCGGCCAGCCCTGCAGTGGGCTTCTAGGGTTCTTCCAGCTCCCAGCCACCAGGAACCCGCCTTGGAGAATCCCAGGTTGCTGCTCACCTATCAGTTTCAGGAGGGAGTCATCAACCAGCAGGAGGGTGATGGACACGCCAGGCATCTCCAGCGCAGACATGAAGGTGCCCACCAGTGCCCGGGCGATCTTCACCCCGCGACCCTCTGCAGTACCAGAGAAGGGCGTCAATGAGGGATGGGGGCAGGTCATCCCGGGGTTCAGGGAAACAAGGGCACAGGAAGCTGGGCCATGAGGTCAGTGGGGAGAGGTCAGCTTTCCTCTGGGCATCCTATGTCCAGTCCCTGCAGTGCCCCCTCTGCAGGGCAGATGAGTAAGTGCAGGTCTTGGTTATGCCAGCACAACTCCAAGTACTATGTGTGTTTAATCTCACTTCGTCCCTCATACTCTGGGCATACTGCCAGCAGAGGCTATTCCTTGGGAAGGGCCATCATGCTTGGAAAGGCAGAGGGTCAGCTGGATTGGCATGGCGACTGCAGTGATGGGCTCAAGTCTGTTAGGGATGGTGAGGACGGCACAGGATGACATTATCTGTTGCAATGGGAAAGTCTGCTGTCAGGGACCTCTCCAAAGTACTGAAGAGCAATGGTGTCTCTCTGGAGACTAAGGTGCATCTGATACAGGCCATGGTCTTTGCAATCACTTGTTATGCATCAGAGAGTTGGACAATGACCAAGGAGGATAGAAGGAGAATTGATGCCTTTGAGCTGTGGTGCTGGAGAAGAGTATTGAGGGTACAATGGACTGCTAGGAAAACAAATAGATTCATCCTGGGAAGGGTTAAACCGGGCAGCTCCTTGGAGGCAAGGATTCTGAGGCTTCGTCTAACATACTTTGGACATGTTTTAAGGAGGAACTTGTCCTTGGAGAGGGACATCATGCTTGGGAAGGTGGAGGGACAGCGCAGGAGGGGAAGACCCTCTATGAGGTGGATTGATTCAGTGACTGGGGTAATCGGGATGGGTGTGTCAGAGACTGCGATTGGCACAGGACGGAGCAGAGTTTAGGGCTATTGTACATAGGGTCGCAAGCGACTCGACAGCACAGAACAACAACAACAACAACAACAACAACACAGGGTTTCTAGGAGTTGTATTTGACTCAACAGCACCTAACAACAACAACCACTCCACCACCACCCCCTGTAGGGCAGGTCTTCCTGTCACCACCCTACTTGACAGCCCAGGAACCAAGGTGAGAAGCGCTCAATGGGGAAGCAGCCGAGCAACGACTAGACTGGTCCGAGCAGAGCCAGCTCTGAGCCTTCAGGGACCCTCCTCTGCTGCTTTTCTAGGTTGTGCTTCACAGGGGGGACAGAGGGAAGCCGTTCTGGGGGTCAGGCAGGTCTCCTTTCTCTGTGGGGCTCACCGAGACAGCGGACAGCAGCGTCGGCGACAATCCCCAGCTCCAGGAAGGACAGGCCACCCAGGTTGTTGACCATCAGCACCACTGAGGAGCCTGTGAGAAGACATGACGCCCACTGAGACTCCTGGGGTGCCCCTCTGTGGGTGTGGGAGCCGGGGAAGGCAGGTCACCCACCTGACTTCACTGGCACGTGGGACGCGTTGGAGGGGCTGGTCATGTGATCAAGCATGAGCTTCACAATCTCATCAGTCGTGGCCATCTGTCACGGGGAGCTGGGTGTGAGCCGAGTGAGGGCCCCTTGGCTGTGGGGCAGCCCAGGGCAGGGAGCCCACCTACCTTGATCCGACGTACACCAGCTTCCCCATGAATGCCTGTGGATAGAAGTGTCACTGCTGACCCACCTGGGCTATGCCAGCATGGTGTGTGAGGCATGTGGGGTGGAAATGGGCAGAATCGCGAGAAACAGCTTGGAAAGGGACATGGTGCTTGGAAAGGTGGAGGGTCGGCAAAGAGAGGAAGACCCTCAACCAGATGGATTGGCACAGTGACTGCAGCAATGGGCTCAAGGAAGTCAGAAATGAGGATGGCGCAGGATAGGATGGTTCCAATCTGTTGTTCACAGGGTTACTATGAGTCGTACTCAACCTGAAGGCACCTAACGACTGCTCTCCGGAAGCTTGTGGCTTGGTGGGGAGGCAGCCAGGAACTGAGGGGCTTGACAGGAGGGAGCCACAGAGAGGCCACAGGAGACCTATGCCCATCACGGCAGAAGCACAGGGGACGGGAGGGCGGGGGCGGGATCTGCAGCAGGGCTGGCCCGTGAACCGCCCTTAGAGAAAGGCTACGTTCTGTCAGGAGCAGGAGGAGCCCAGACACGGAGACGGGGGTGCATGGGGCCCTATGTCGGGGAGCTCTGGGTGTGGACGGTAGTTAGGGTGGACCAGAGGAGCCTGCCTCCAAGCCCACTGAAAACCATCAAGACCACCGAGCAGATAGCCTAGGTGAGCACCACACAGAGGGGACCAGGTACAGGGCTCCCAGGACACGAGACAGGGACAAATCCAAGACAGAGGAGCAGGCAGGGCGGGCGGGGTGGTGACAGCTTACCAAGGCCCAGCTCTACCTCCTCGCTGGAGAGTTCAAAGGTGGGTTTGGAGCCAGGGACGCTGCAGGAGGACAAGCTCACCCCCAGGGTACCTGTGGGAATGCGGCACCAGAGGGATCACTGCTCTGGCCTTGGCAGTGGGCAGGTCCTTGTCCACCATGAGTGGCCTCTTCCATCTCCATGGTGAAATGCAACCCACCACCAGCGTCTGAGGCTTCCAGATCCCAGGAGCTCCCCCACGAGACCTTCCCACCACCCCCAAGGGACACTCTGTAAAGTGAGTACTCCACAGCTGACTGGCACCTGCTCGTAGGACCATGGCCCGCTTCCACCAAGTCCCTGCCTCCCCATGGCCCGCTTCCACCCAGCCCCTGCTTCCCCAAGCCCCCTGGCCGCACTCACCCATGGCCTTGGCAACTGCGCTCACCCGCTTGGTGATTTCCTCCAGCCCCACGCCAGCCTCTGCCAGGGCACCTGCTACCTGCACCCCAAAGAGAATCCCAAGAGGAAAGGGGTCACACCAGCATCTGGGAGTAGAGGATGGGTTCAGGAGGAGTTTCTCATCAGGAATTCCCTCACTCAGCCGGGCAGTCATGTTTAGGGCAGGGAGTGCCTTCAAAATGCATCTGCCAGGAATCTTCAGATCTCAGTCTGCTGGAAGCACAAGGGTCTTTGCAAAACAGGGAAATGGGCCCGGGGCGGGGCGTGGGGGGGAACTTTTCTCAAATCATATAAACAGTTGGCAGCCAGTTTCCCAATTCAAAGCCCTATGGAACATAAACTGCAGCTCACTTTATCCATCCACCCACCCAGCATGACATATCCATTCATTCATCCACCTACACGTCCGTCCATCCATCCACCCACCATCACATACCCACTCATTCACCTACAAGTCCGTCCATCCATCCATCCATCCATCCACCCATCCATCCACCCACCCACCATCACATACCTACTCATTCATCCACCTACACGTCCATCCATCCATCCATCCATCCACCCACCCACCATCACATACCCACTCATTCATCCACCTACACATCCATCCATCCATTCATCCACCCACCCACCATCACATACCCATTCATTCATCCACCTACACGTCTGTCCATCCATCCATCCATCCACCCATCCATCCACCCACCCACCATCACATACCTACTCAAACATCCACCTACACGTCCATCCATCCATCCATCCATCCACCCACCCACCATCACATGCCCATTCATTCATCCACCTACACGTCCGTCCATCCATCCATCCGTCCACCCATCCATCCACCCACCCACCATCACATACCCACTCATTCATCCACCTACACGTCCATCCATCCATCCACCCACGCACCCACCCACCATCACATACCCACTCATTCATCCACCATCACATACCCATTCATTCATCCACCTACACGTCCGTCCATCCATCCACCATCCATCCACCATCCATCACCCATATAATATGCTCAGGATCAATTATTCACTCCCTAAACGATGAACAAGATATCCGCAAAATAGGAGGCCTATATCATCATGTATTCACTCACTCATCCATCCATCTCCCTACTCACATTTATACACACCCACCAGCACAACCATCATGTACTCACTCACTCTTCTACCTATCCATTTACCCATTCACTCATCCACTCATCTATCCATCCACCCATCCACTCATTCAGCCAGCCAGCCACACATCCATCTCTCCAACATCCATCCATCCATCCATCCATCCATCCATCCATCCATCAACTCACCCACCAACCTACTCACCCATTCATCCATTCTCCCACCTATCCATCCATTCATCCACTCACTCACCCATCCAACCACCACCACACCATTCATCCATCCACTTATCTGTCCAATGATCCACCCACTTAACCATTCACTCACCTACCTACCCACCATTCACACACAGAAAATGTACTGTGAGGTAGAAAATGCAGTGGAAGGTGGTATGGGGACACAGAGGAGGGGTCCTAAGTAGGTTGGTGTCATAGGGAAGCCAGGCAAAAACTCCCAGATGGGCAGATAGCAGAGACGGCCCTCTGAAAGCAGCAGTAGGAGTTAGACTGGCCAATCATAGGAGGAGTGAGACAATAGGGAAGAGGCTACTCTGGGCCAGAGACACAGTCCAAGCAAAGCTGAGAGAAGCCCCTGCCTGGTGGATACAGGGGTGTTAACAAACATAAGGGGAAGACAAGAGTGATGGGTGACCAAGTTGAAAAGTTGGGGAGTTAAGCCAAGAGTGTGATGGGCACTGGACCAAAAGCCTGGGGTGACTCTTAACTTTAATCAGATACATATTTCTAAAGATACTTCTGACAGCAGTAGGTGGCATCTTAGGGCAGGAAGCAGGAAACAGGCAGGGGGGCCTATCAAAGAGGGCACTGCAGCCTTCTGGGTATGAGCAGATCAGCCCTGGACCAAAGCTGCATCAGAGAGGGCGGGGGCAGTGCACTATGTGTGGAATTGAGGCTGACGGGGTGTTGGGGGAAGGGAAGACTCTGGGAGTGGTTTATCAGGGATTTTTTCCCCTTCCTGTTGCGTACCATCGAATCAGATCCGACTGGCACAGAAAGAGATTTCCTGGAAGTGGTTTATCGGGGTGTGTGGTCAAGGTGCCTAGAAAAGTCCTGGCACCAAATGCTGCCTGGAGCGAGAAGGCTGCGTTGAGGGCAGGGTCCTAGGTGACCTACCTTATGGATAAGCACAGTGCCACACAGGCCCCGCCGGCCGGCCTTCTTCAGGGTCGTGAAAGCACTGTCGTCTCCAATCACCACCATCTCCACTGAGATGCCCTCTGCCCGGGCCTGCTCCAGGGCCAGGCCGAAGTTGAGCCGGTCCCCCGTGTAGTTCTTCACAATGAGGAGGGTCCCCGCTGTGGGTGCAGTGGGCAGCACCCATCAGTGCTTGTCCTCGTCCATCCCGCCCCGGCCCACCCCTGGCCCTCCACGTGCTGGTCTTACCAGTGCCTGCCTGGGCCACGGCCCTGATGGCCGCCAGAATGCTGCCCACGGCCGGGGAGGTGAACACAGCTCCTGCGATGACCCCGGTCAGCATGCCCTTCCCTATGAAGCCTGGAGAGGGGACAGGGAGGGTGGAAGAGAAGACGACATGTGGGACCTGTGCCTGCCGTCACAGGGGCTTCCCATTCCGGGGCCCTGTGGTTAGGGGAGCCCGCCTGTGCACCTGGCTCTAGGAGGACACAAGGGTTGTGTCCCCCAGAGGATTGTCACATGGACGGCTCCTTTTCAGGGATCACTGTGGGGAGGCCTTCCTTGACCTCAGCTAGTTACCATCTCATATCCAGCAGTCCACTGTTCCTTTACCTTGTGTCATGGGATGTACCTGTCCCCCAAAAACATGTGCCAGCTTGGCTCAGGTCATAGTTCTCCACTGTGAACTAGTGATTCTCAGTAGTTAGGCAGGTATGAAATGATGTAATCACTCCCCACAATGTGACTGGATATGACGAGCCAATCAGTTGTGGTGGGATTAGGGTGGGATACAGCACCCTCACTCTGGTCACAACTCAGATCCAATGAAAGGGAAGATTCCCTGCACTGTGGCCCACATTACCTTTTATCTTAAAGAGACAGAAGAGGTGGGAAAAGCCAGCAGAGAGGAGGGGCTTCAGCAGTCAAGAAGGGCCAGGAGCAGAGTGAGTCCTTTGGCCCTGAGATTCTGCATTGAGACTCCTAGATCCTGGGAAAGCTTGAAGCCAAGACACACAGGCATCTTCACAAATGTTCAGGAGACACGCATGCCACCTCGTGCCAAGAAAGAATGCCTTCCCATAGAGCTGGCACCCTACCTTCAAGTTGGACTGCTAATCTCCTACATGTTGCAAGATCAAGCTTGTTAAAGCCATCTGCTTATGGCAGCAGCACTAGATGATGGAGTGACCCTGCTGAAGGTCTTTCTCACCCACTTGTCACTCTCCTGTGATCCTGTTTCCTTACAAGAAGCTAGCTACTGCCTGTCCCCCTGAAGTAGAACATAAGCCCCATGGGGGCTGGAGCCTTGCCTGTGGTTCCCTATAGCACCCCCGGTGCCCACAGCATGCCTGACACACAGAGGTGCCCATCAGTGTTTGCTAAATGAACAAACCTCACCAAATCCTCATCTCACAGAGGGAGATGGAAAGTACGAATGACATAAAACCTGGTGGTTCTGGTCCTTCGAGAGCTCTCAAGGGAGCCCAGGAAGGGTCAAGGCACCGAACAAGGAGCGTCCAGCACTATCCGTAAGTGTGTGTGCGACTGCGCTCACTAGACAGGTACTTCTCTGGCTGGAAGTCAGGGAGGCCTCACGGAGGAGGGGGTCTGCTGGGCCGGGAAAATCAGGAGGATCTTGGGACTAGTGTACTGGAGCACTGGAAGGCCTGGGAAATCATCAGGCTGCACTGAGACCCAGAGAGAAGCTGTGGCTGGTCCCAGATAACAGCAGGTGGGGCTGGGAGAGCTGGGTTTGAGGCCTGGACCTCAGATGTGCACCAGGCATCTCCCAGGGGCCTCCTACCCTGCCCCCCCTGCCTTGTTACTGCTACCCACTCTACTCACCTGCGTGGGCAGGCTCGTGGCCGGACCCCCCGCCGGACAGCAATGCCACCCGGCCCCTGAGGCTGTCCAGGTCAGAGCGGAGGGCCACACGGTGACCCTGGAGCAGCTGCAGGTTGGGGTTGCAGGCCACCAGGCCGGTAAGGGCATCATCGGCGCAGCCGGCCACCGAGTTCACCAGCTTCTTAGAGGTCTGTGGAAAGGGAGTGAGGAGGTTCAGGGAATGAGCAACAGAGACCCCACGCTGCCCAGCCACCTTGCTATGACTAGGACGGCACTCCACGGCCACTTAGAACTCCAGGGCCACAGCAGTCTCTTGTCAAGCCGAATGCTGCTGCGATGTCCCTTCCCAATGAAACTCACTAAAAACTCTGCCATTGTTATATTCACACAATGGAATACTACACTGCATTGAAAAACAAGGAATTAATGAAATATTATACAAAATAGGCAACCATGGAGAACATTATGCTGAGTGAAATATCTCAGTCACAAAAGGACAAATACTGCATAGTGCCACTGTCATAAAACGGGACTGACATCAGGGTTGGGGGGAGACTGAGGAAGATGGGAAAAATAATGTATACTGCACTGAAACAGATGAGGAAGAGAGCTGTCTAAAAGGGATATGTGATTGGGTATTATTATCATGACAGGAGTCCAGAGGGAAGACTGCATAGTGAAGTGGACATGGGGGGAGGGATTGTATAACAATGAAATAATTTTTCTTTTACTTTTCAAAGAGAAGAGCGAACTGGGGGGTAGGGGTGGAGAGGGAGAAAAGTGCAACAATGAATGAACTGAAATCCAAAGTCTCTGTAAAGTTTCATTAAAATTAATAATAAAAAAATATATATTTTTTAAACCCCCCCCAAAAACCCCCTTTTCCATTAAGTCAGAACCAACTCCTAGCTGACTCTCTGGGAGTTTTTACATGGGAGGAGACTGCCTCGCTTTTCCTGAGGAGGAGTTAGCAGATTCAAACCACCTGCCTTTGAGTTAGTCAACAAAACTCCCTACCCACAAGTGGTGAACTGATGGAATGTTTTGGACTATGGCCTAAATGCAGTCTGAAGAAAATGGCTTCAAATCCCAGAAAAGGAAGAGCTGGAGTTCTGATTTTTTCTCTCTTTGAGGATACCAGAAATTTGGAGTTTCTGGAAAAAGGTAAGTCTGCCAGCAGTGGACATTTGGTCAATCTTTGAGAGCGCTGCGGCATTCTCACTGACGAGGGTCTGCCTGTGAGGCTCACTTCTCAGAAGCTTTGTGAAATGTGCTGACGTGAATCTGGTCATCCCAGAGGACCCCACTCGCTGGCTTGGGGGGGCAACAGCATGGGAGGAAGACAGCAACTGCCCTGAAACAATCCACATGTGTCCACTCAGTCAGATGGACTTGATTGTGATGTGGAGTCCTGATTATTTAAAAAATAAGGAACCAGCACTCTTCTACTGAAGGAGAAGGCTGGGAGGAGGCTGGACCACCCATCCGAATCCGGCCTCTGATGCACAGAAGACACTTCCTGAGCCCCCACTGTGCCAGGACCTGGACTCAGCACTGGGAACAAAAAGGTAACTGAACCTGCTTCCTGTCCTGGATCTAAGTGCAAAGAGACCATTCCTGCATCCCACGAGAGGAGCTGGCAAGAGCAGGATCAGCTACTGTGGGGACACAGAGGAGCCTGGCAACTTGGGGTGTTATGTGCTGGGCTGCTACCTGAAAGATCAGGGGTTCAAATCCACCAGCCACTCCACAGGGGAAAAACGAGGCAAGAAGGCCTTAGCGCCTCCTCCTATCTAGGTTTCTAGTGCCAGGACTCCAGCGGAAACGGGAAAGGAGTCGGAACTGACTGGACAACAGTGGGGTTGGCTTCTGGTTTCTGAAGCACAGAGGAGCCTCAGCCTCGCAAGGGCATCCTGGATGTCTCCGTGAAGGACAAGTAGGAGTTAAAACCCAACTCATGGCGAGCTCTGGTGGCCTAGTGGCAGGAAGCTGCACTGCAATCCCAGAGGTGTGTGGTTCAAATCCACCAGATGCTCTGCTGGAGAAGGAGGAACCACCTCCTCCTATACCAGTCAAATCTGATTTGATGGTACATACAAATAATAAAAATAAAATAAATAAATAAAAACAACAACAACAAAAACCCAACACACAGTTATTCTGACTCACAACCACCCTATCAGACAGAGGAGAACTACCCCAGGGGGTTTACAAAGCTGAAATCTCAGTCAGTTCACACTGCCTTATCTTCTCCCCCCTGGAGTGGCTGGTCTTCAAACTACCAGCCTATGGGTCACTAGCCCAATATTTAACCCAAGAATAGTTGGGAACATGGAAGAGTAAAGAGGAAAAACACTGCAGGCAGAGGGGAGGCAGAAGCCCAGGTTCAGGGGTGTGAAAAAGGCACCACTTAAGCGGCTCGGGCAGCACGTGGCCAGTAGGGAGACTCTTTTTCTGTAACATGGAGAAACAGCGACTTGATAATGGAACATTTGCCTCTCCTATGTTGGTGTTAGGTACCATCGAGTCACCTATGACTCAGAGTGACCTTATGAACAAAAGATCTGGCTCTTGCCCTGTCCTGTGCCACTGTCACCATCTCTGTCATGCTCAAACCTACTGTCACAGCAACTGTGTCAATCCATCTCATTGAGGGTCTTTCTCTGATCTTTCCTAGCATGACTGGAGGCCCCTGTCAATATGACGACCCTTGTCCCTAGTATCACTTCCTTCCAGGAAGATTTGTCTTTTGGTAGTTCATTCAATACTCTCTGCCAACACCACATTCCAAAGGCACTGATTCTTCTTCACTCTTCCTAATTCATTGTCCAACTTTCAGATGCATATTGAAAATACAATGGCTTGGATCAGACACACCTTAGTCTTTAAACTGACATCCTTGCTCTTCAGCACTTTGGAGAGGTCTGTGAGCAGATTTTCCCAAAGCAACATGTGTTTTGATTTCTTGACTACTGCTACCATGGGTGTTGGTTGTGGATTATTGACAACTTGAATTGTATCTGTCTCTGTGATGATGGTCAAGTTGTGAGGATTTGTTTTCTTTAAGTTGGGGTGTAATCATTTTTTTCTGAGGTATAATCCACTTTGAAGACTGTTACCCATACAGAAATTCTTTGATCTTCTATAGTAAGTGCTTCAAGTCTCACTAGCTACAAGCAAGGTTCTATCACTTGCATGACACAGGCTGCTATGATGAGTCTCCAATCCTGAGGCCACATTCTTCTTCACAAGGACCAGCTGCTCAAATGATTTGCTCAGCACACAGACTGAATAGGTGTGGAGAAAGTATACAACCATGACACGTACTTCTCCCGATTTTAAACCATACGATGTTCTCTCGTTCTGTTCAGAGAACTGTTGATTTTGTATAGATTTTGCATGAGCACAATTAAGTGTTCTGGGATTCCCATTCTTCTCAATGATAGCCACAATTTGTCATATAGTACAAGCTCAATAAAAGCTATTTGGTAAAATATAATAAAATAAAAGCTAATGCTACCTCCTATATGGAAGACTTCCCGGGTGGTACAAATAGTTGCTTGTCCGCTGACTAGAAGGTTGAAGATTTGAATCCACCCAGAGGAATCTCAAAAGAGAGGCTGTTGTAAAACAATGAAAGAATTTTTCTTTTACTTTTCAAAGAGAAGAGCGAACTAAGGGGGGGGGAGGTTGGGCAGGGAGAAAAGTACAACAATGAATGAATGGAAATACAAAGTCTCTGTAAACTTTCATTAAAATTAATAATAAAAAAAATTTTAAAACTCAGTTAACACTAAAGAAGAAAAAAAGAAGAAGAAGAGAGGCTGGGGGTCTACTTCCTAGAAATCAACTGCTGAAGACCCTGCGAAACACAGCTTGTCCCTCCGTTGCCAGGAGCTGGAGGAGTCAGGCTGACAACAGTTTTTCATCCATTGTATTCCAGCCAAGCCCTGACAAGCTGGAGCAGGTGGCCCCAGCGCTGCAGGCTGGGATGCAGCTCTAGCCTCTCTCCACCAGAGGGTGAGATGGGGGCCCCACAGAGGCCAGGCTCCTAACACCTCCTGGCGACCAATCTCTGCGGACAGCTGAGCCCAGTCCAGGCAGGAGGCACTTGTGCACAGGCTCTGTATGTGTGTGTGTGTGTGGGGGGGAGGGGGACACGGCTGCAGTCCTTGTAAAAAATCTCATATGGAGACTGCCCTGCCAAGCTGTCCTGGGTCAGGGCTGGGGGGGCACTGGGCCAGATAACCTGCTTCAGCTGAGGAGTTCAGCCTGGGTCACTTGGGAGCAAGCCAATTCAGACCGTTGCCATTGCCTGAGCAGGAACTAAGCACCAGGCCTGTCTCACATGCTCTGAGCATGTTTCTTCTCAATACCCCAAGGAAAGAAAGATTAGCCTAGAAAGGAAACTGAGGCACTGATGGATGAATGTACCCCAGACTGCCCGGCCAGCAAAGCATCCAGGTCAGCTTGCCTCCAAGAATGTGACTGTATGAACAACCTCACGATGCTTTCCTGGGGGGCTGAGTCATATAAACACAATGTTGTTGTTGTTACATGCTGTCTAGTCGTGCTGTCTAGTTGACTAGCAACCCTATCAACCCCATGCTGTCCTGACCCACCCTCATTGCCTCCCATACACCTGACGCCATCGTTACATCGTTACTGTGTCAGCTGACCTCTTTGAGCCTCTTCCTCTCGTGTTTCCAAGAATGAGGTTTTTTTCCCCAAGGACTGGACTCTCCTGATTACATGCCCAAAATATGTGAGACAAAGTTTCACCATCCCTGCCTCCAAGGAGAACTTTAGTTTCACTTTCTCCAGGCCCGGCCTGTTTGTTCTCTTAGCAGTCCATGTATGTTCAAAATTCTTCTCAAGCATCACAGCTCAAAGGCATTAATTCTCCTTCTGTCATCCTCAGTCCATTGTACAGCTTTCAGATTCACAGCAAGCAACTGAGAAGACCATGTCTTGGATGTTGTTGTTGTTGTTGTTATGTGTCATCGAGTAGCTTGCAACTCACAGTGACCCTATGTACAACGGCCCTAAACCCTTCTCTCTCCTGTGCCAATCGCACTGTCTCCGACATACCCATCCCGATTACTCCAGTCACTGCATCAATCCACCTCATAGAGGGTCTTCCCCTCCTGTGCTGTCCCTCCACCCTCCCAAGCATGATGTCCTTCTCCAAGGACCGATCCCTCCTTACAACATGTCCAAAGTATGTTAGACGAAGTCTCAGAATCCTTGCCTCCAAGGAGCAGCCCGGATGCTGCTCTAGATGAACCTGTTTGTTTTCCTAGCAGTCCATGGTACATTCAATACTCTTCTCCAGCACCACAGCTCAAAGGCATCAATTCTCCTTCTATCCTCCCTAGTTATTGTCCAACTCTCCGATGCATAACAAGTGATTGCAAAGACCATGGCCTGTGTCAGGCGCACCTTAGTCTCCAGAAGGACACCATTGCTCTTCATTACTTTGGAGAGGTCCCTAACAGCAGACTTTCCCATCGCAATGCATCTTATAATATGTCTTGGATAGGAATTGGACAAAAAACAAAACAAAAATTCAATACACCTCAACAACAACAAAAAATAACCTGAAAAAGATATAAAACTTGGCAGCTATAGAGACAATGCCAATTCACAGGGACCCCAAGCATATCAATGGGGGATAGGACTCCATAGAGTTTTCAAGGAGGCTGAGGGCAGTCGACAATAGAATCCACACGGAACTGGCTCATGCAATGAAGCCAATGGTTAGTCTCAATTCCAGGCTCTGCTTCCAGTGTCCTCTAACTCTGTACCCCATTCTTCCTCTCTGACAACCTGTCCAGCCTGGGCCTCTAAAACATCACTGCACCAGAGGGGCTAGTGCCACCCAGGACTCCCAGCATCCTGAAAGGACCAGGGCATGAAAAGGAAAGGAAGTGAGGGGTCCCAGCACTCCAGTTTGTGGTGGTAGACCCCAGCCTCCATTACACTGCAGATGAGGAAAAAGAGCCTCAGAGGAGCCAAGCCTTTTGTACAAAGTCACATAGCTGCGGTGTGGTCACAGGGTTGAGATCTGAACCTAGGTCTCTCCAAGGTCTCTGGATAAGCCCTGGGATAAGATCTCTCAAGGCTGGGCTTGGAGCGAGGCCCAGAGGCACACGGAGCCTTCCAGGGTGTAGAGTTCTGGGGCAGCTCACATGTGCTCCAGCCTCAGGAACCAGCACGAGTCTGATCTCCGTGCTTCCTTCTGTGACTGGCACAGAGTCCACGACAGATGCTGCTGTTGAGGTCGAGAGGTCCATCATGTTTTCATGAGCTGATTTTCAGGTTGCCAGGCTTTTCTCTTTAGTCTGGAAGAGCCTCTGGAACCTGTCTGACATCAGAGCAGTACTAAAGCCTCCACTGACAGATCGAGGCGGAATGGAAGGCACCCGCTCAAAGCCGACCCTGGGTTGCTAGCATGGATGGCTGGAAGGCAAGAACTCTTCCCTGAATTCTTGGAGAGAACTCTTCAAGGCAGAAACTCTCCTATTCTACCACTGAACCAAGAGAGTTGGCAAATAGTGATGCTCTTATCCAAACGTGTGACCCAGACTTGGGATAGATGGGCTCCAGAGGGACTCAGACGATGCAGTCTCAGGCCTGGCTGGGACCAGAGAGAGGGCACCAGGAAGTGGAGGGAATTCTTAAAGACCTCTTTGAACTTGACATGCAGCAGGAGCTCCAGGTCAGAGCCTAAGGAATTCAAGCATGGCCAGGGCTGGGAACCCCACTGCTCCAAAACCACAGTGTCCTATCCCTGCTCTGGTCCCAGGGGACTCACCATGGTGGGAGGCTTCACGGTGTCACTGAGGTGCCAGACAGACAGGAGCTCCTAGGAGTGGTATTGGGTTTGAGCTGGCAGCAGCTGCACCTGAAGGAATGGGTAAGGATGTGAACTGGAGAAGGCACTCGTGGCCGACTGGCACAGTGCACAGTCACGCTGCGAGTAGCCGAGTAATCAGGGAGCTGCCTCAGACTTCGATCCAAGTCCAAACTCTAGTTCGTGGCTTGGGGATGGAGAGGAGCGTGGGGCTGACCAAGGTTCAGTTAAGCTGCACTTGGCTGCCAAACAGATCGATGTATGCTGGGCAGAGGGTTGCCTTGATGCCCAGGAGCAGCCTCAAAGGCCAGGAGTAGCATTACCCATCCAGCAACTTCCTCTCTTACGTGGATGTTGCATGTGAACATCTACAGAGATCTTCATATGCTTGCTTTTGTGGGTATCACACCAGAATGTAACTAGTGAGTATGTGATCCCACTGAGGGGAGTGAGAGAAAGAAAGGTCTAGTGACTTGGTCAAGTCATGCTCTAACCCCTATCTAGTCATTCTACAAAGCCTGATTTGATTCCACAGCTATTCAGTGCCTCCAAAGACAAGCAGAGTCCCTGGTGTGTGGAGCCAGGTCAGAGGGTCCAGGTGCTGTGTGTGTGTGCACTGGAAAAAACCCTTTGCAGAAGCTCTGCTGGTGAGTTACCAGGGAGAACTTAGGTAAAGAATCCTCGTTGGGCCTCAGCTTCCTCCTCTGTAAAATGGGATTTGCTCCTCTCTGGCTTTGTGCAGGTATTCCAAACCACGTGGTTCTCCTGCCCTGAACTATTGCGGGGGGAAAATTCACTCGGGAAAATTCTGGGTTTGTGTTTTAAGGTCGGGCTTTGAACAGCAATAGGGCATTAATGACGTTCACCAAGAGGTCTGGTGGGCCCTCCAAAATCTGAAAAATATGAAACACAGTTTAAAAGGGAGAAAGCGGGTGTTCAGTGCCCCCAGGTGAGGAGCAGAGGTGTCAGGTGAAGAGGTCACCGGCTAGTTTCGGGATAACGGTTCAAGGACAGCGAGACCCGGGCTAGGGTCCGTGATGTGCACATCACCTCCCTCCCAGCCTCGGTTTCTGCAAGTCTTCCGGGTTGCAAAAGCGGGGGAAATTACCCCAAAAGCTCCTGAAGCAAGATGAAGGGGAGAGCGGAAGTCTGGGGAAAGACTAAGGACGAGAATGGCGGGAAATTAGAAGCTGCAGGTCAGCGTGCAACTTGGAGCGCGGAGGGGCGCACTCGTCCCGCGCTTGCGCCCGCCGGTCCCAGAGCCGCCCCTCCGCGACCGACGCCTAACAAGAGAGCCCGGCGCCCTCCCATCCGGGTCCTTCGGGCTCCGGAGGGCGGGGCGGGGCGGGTCCTCCGGGGGCGGGGCCTCCCGTGATTGGCTGGCTCCGGCGTGGCGAGTCATCCAGGGGCCAGGTGAGGCCGTCCCGTGATTCCTCGCGCCGCGGCCGCTCTGGCCTGCAACGTGTCTGGGGCGGAGGCAGCGGCGGTGGAGATCGCTGCGCGCGGGCGGGGGCCTCCTGTCTCTTCGCTCGAGTCCACCCCTAGTGTTGCGCTCACGCCCGGACGGGCCGCCCCAGGCCTCGCCATGTCGTACAACTACGTGGTAACGGCACAGAAGCCCACCGCCGTGAACGGCTGCGTGACGGGTGAGGTCGCCAGAACCGGAGACCCCGGCGAGGGAGGCGCGCTGGGGGGAGCCGAGGCCTAGGGAAGCCCGCGGCCTCGGGGGTGGCCGCACCAGGCCGGGGAATGAGAGGCGCTGGCGGCCGAGGACCCTTCCCAGCCCGGCGACTTCCAGACAGACTGTTTTCACCTGCGCCTTTTGGAGAATAAAAGCTACCCTTACGGGTCCCTTTCTTTCCGGGGGGTCACTTGCCCTCGAGGACAGGAACGGGCCCAGGGGGACAGAGCAGAGTGGGAGTTGATTGGGCGGTGTTGCCTGAACCCCGAGCTTGGCCTCGTGTGCCCGGGGGAAGGGGCGGATCTGGGGTTTTCAAGTGCGGGAGCGCGGGGAGCGCACGAGGTGGCGGGGCGGGAGGAAGGAAGCTCCCTCCCGTGCCCGGGGCTGCTGTGCACACGAGGGTGATCCGGGAGAAGGGAGCGTGCAGAGCTTGACCCGGGGCTGGCTTTTCCTTGGAGAACACACAGGTCCATTCAGGTCCGAAAGCAGGCTGTCATCGTCCTGAGTCCAGAACCTCAGGGGAATGTGCAGACCCCAGCCTCGAGTGTGTGTGCGCGCGCGCGTGTGTGTGCGTAAATCCCAGTCATGCTTCCAAAACAAAGGCGTGGTGTTTGGAGAGTTGGCCGTGCACATGGCAAAATTTGTAGACATGGAGAGGGCGCAAGAAGGGTGTGTAAAGCAGCGTTTTCATAAAAACCTGTGAGGGTTTTCATTCCTGTGATCTGTAGAGTTTTGGAAGGTTTTCATTGACAGTTGGAAGAGGTGCACATTTTCTCCAAAATGTGATAACCAGCGGACCAGCCTGGCACTGTGAAAGAGGAAGGGACTGCTCCCTTTGAAAGTTTTTTGCCATCATTTGTTAGAGGTCTCGGCTCTTCGGTGGGGTGCACTCTTAGTACTCTGATGAGATGTTTTTGTTATGTATGCATCAGAAGGTGGTTCTTCCACAGAGCAGCTGATGGATTTGAACTGCTAACCTTTGCATTAGCAAGCGCAGTTCCTCTCCATTGAGCCACCAGAGTTCCCTGGACGAAAGCCAGTGGCCTTGTCAGATGTCTGAAGTGAGACTCTTTCAGGTGGTGGGTTGGGCAAGAGACGGGAATGAATAGAAGCAGCTGGAGTAAACTGTGTTGTGAAGGAGGATGCTGGAGGGATGCACTCTCCGCCTTAGCCAAGTTTAGAAGAAGTCTGTTCTTTCAGGACATTTCACATCAGCTGAAGACCTGAACCTGTTGATTGCTAAAAACACAAGATTGGAGATCTATGTGGTCACTGCTGAAGGCCTTCGCCCTGTCAAGGAGGTGGGCATGTACGGGAAGATAGCTGTCATGGAGCTCTTCAGGCCCAAGGTGAGCCCTCCGGGTGGGACCCAGCCATGAAGGGAAAACAGTTGTTGTTTGTAAATGTTTTTATGTCATTATTTAGGCTAGATGGGAAAAGACTCAGGAGACACACTCTCTCTGCCTTTGAATGGTGGGTTCCAATTTATTGTCTTATTGGAAGTTTTCCTAGACGTAAGAGGAAGACTTCGTTTGACTTCTTCAGGAAGATGAAATGAAAGCAATTTGGAATGTTTGTTTTTAACTGCTTTGTGAGCTAGCGGCCAGCAGGCCTGGATTAATTTTCTTACTAATTCCCTGACTCTGGATGTCTCTCCGAGCCTCATTTTCTGCATTTGAGGCATAAGGATAATAATGTGCAGTCCTTTGGGTGGTTAATGAAGATTAAGTGACGTAATAACACGTGGCAGCCGCCCTCACAGTTAGGTTTAACAATTGCCATTTTCATTTTATCTTCATCTAAACAGCCATTGCATTGCTTCAAATAGCGTAACTGTATCTGACAAGAAAGCACGAGGGTAAAAATGTTATAGTTGAGCAAAATACCTTGTAAGGGCTTTGCTGCCTATGACTTCGTGAATCCTGTTTGACCTTTCACAGTTCCCACATTTCCCCCCACCTGCCTTTTTCTGATACTGTTGGAGAGAATTAGAGCAGGCATAGCAGTTATCTTTCAGAATTTGAATAATGTTAATATTCAGTTGAGATAAAAATAGATGAAAGCATTGAGTGGAGAGAGGAGGAATCCAGAAAAAGCTAGGTATTTATCCTCAAGGGAAGCCTTTGGCCTGTACCTTTAGGGGTGTGTTGCCGGAATAGTGGTGGGGCAGCAGCTGGTAGTTAAACCTGTTCGGTGACTCCAGGGGGATCCTGTGAAGAGAATAACCTGGACAATTTTATGGGACAGTTCTTTATCACGAGTTTGCTCTGCGTCACAGCACTTGGAAATGGTGTGTGTTAGTATGCACCATGTATCTGGCTGATGGTTTTCTCTCACTAGGGATAGAACAATTTGGAAAGCTGTGGCATGCTTAAAGAATAAAACACTTCAAGGCTAGATGAGTGTTTGTTTAAATGGACCTCTGTTGATAGCATAACGTTGGCTTCCAGGGGGAGAGCAAGGATCTGCTGTTTATCCTGACAGCTAAGTACAACGCCTGCATCCTGGAGTACAAGCAGAGTGGCGAGAGCATTGATATCATCACGCGAGCCCACGGCAACGTTCAGGTGAGGCAGTTGCTCTGAGCTAATGAGAGTTCCTTCTGTAGCTAGGGACAGTCCTCTGTATTATCAGTTCATAAGAGCACACGCACGAGTGTGAGGTACAGGCTTATGTGAAGAAAAAACTCATTTTTCTGGGAATTTGAGATACAGAGATATAATTCATTAAGATTCAGTATTTTGGCAAAAAAGTCTGAACTAATGTTTGGGCTCCTTTGTCTGTCAATTAAACGCTAGTGGTCTTACATGTAGGGGATTCTGGTGGCTTAGTTTGCAGAGAGTTGTGTTATTAACCCCGAGGCTGTGCCTCTTAGGTTTGACTCCACCAGCAGCTCTGAGGGAGAAAGGTGGGCAATTTTCTTCACTTTAAAGCCTTGGAAAATTTCTGGAAGGTCAGCTCTGAGTTGGTTCTGACTTGAGGGCTGTGAGTTGAAATCTTTACCTACCTTCGAATAGAGAGATGTAAGGTATGCAGGACTAACAGGATCCCTTACGAGAGCGTGCTCGATGTCTTCTGTTACCTGTGTGTTCCATTTCCCCTAATCCCAGTTTTACTTCTCAGGACCGCATTGGCCGCCCCTCGGAGACTGGCATTATTGGCATCATCGATCCTGAGTGCCGGATGATTGGTCTGCGACTCTACGATGGTCTCTTCAAGGTTATTCCTCTAGACCGGGACAATAAAGAGCTCAAGGCCTTTAACATCCGCCTGGAGGAGTTGCATGTCATTGATGTCAAGTTTCTCTACGGCTGCCAAGCCCCTACCATCTGCTTCGTCTACCAGGTACTGTGTTGCGAGGAACAAGGGAGAAGCCGTGTGTTTGGGGGAGTGGGAGTTGGAGTTAGCTAATCAGTGTGTGTGGATATGGAGCAGCACAGGCAAAAGTCTCAGATATGTTTGTCCTGAAATGTTCTGCACAAATGTGATCATCAGGGGTCAGACTTTGCTCGCCTCTTGTGTGCAGTAATAGACTTCTGATAGAGGTAGAAAGCTCTCAGGCTTGCGACAGGCTTTAATCCTGAGATTACACTCTGGTTATGGGCTGTGGAGATTTTATAGGGTGACCCAGTTTGTACTTTGTCTCTGAGCTTCTTACTGGCATTGAGGGGTATTGAAACTGAGTTGCGCTATATTGAGAAGATAATGGTTCGTTTTAAGCTATGTATCTTTTACGACAATTAAAAGCAGAACCACAGATGCCTGTGTAAGACAAGAGAAAACATATTGCTTGGCTCCTCACTTGTTCCTTTGAGGAAGAGATTTCCATTGTATTTGACACCCATTTTGTTGGGACTTTTTGGGTTTTACATTTGTTTGTTTCATATTGCAGTCAGACTCTTAACAAGACATTTGGGTTTCTGTGTACAGTTCAGTGGCATTAATGACATTTACTGGATTGTGCAACCATCACCACTACCCATTTCCATATTTTTTTTCAACTTGGCCCGTTAAGCAGTAACTCTTCCTTCTTCCCTGTTATCCTGGTTCCTGTTAGTAAATACTGGTTCAAACCTTTGCCTGTTCTAGGTATTTCTTCTGAACGGGTCCCAGACATATTTGTTGTTTTGTGTCTGAATCAGTTCATCAAACGTAGGGTTTTCAAGTTTGAGCCTTGTTGGAACATATACTTGAACTTCCTTTCTCCTTAGGGCTGAGTAATAATGATATCCATTTAGGGTATGCCTCGTTTGTTTATCCAGTCATCTGTTGATGGTTGTTTTGGTTGTTGTGATTAATACTGCGGTAAACATTGGTGTACATTTCTCTATTTATATCCCTGCTTTCACATCTTTTTGGGTACATACATAGGAATGGAATGGCTGGCTCAGTGGTCATTCTGTAAGGGGCTGTAGTGGTGGTGTGCCTTACATGTTGCACTGCTAACTGAAGCGTCAGTGGTTCCAATCCTGCAGCTACTCCCAAGCCAAGTCTTCCAGAAAAATATCCTGCCTTATAAACCAAATGGAGGATTGTTATACTTGGAATAGGCTCTGTATCAGCGCGTATGGTGTCTGCTGTGGAAATTCTATAGTTTAATTTTCAGAGGAGCCATTACAGCTTCTTCTTGACTTCTGTTCTAGTCTGCATGAAAGTACCAGCACTGATCCTGGGCAGCTCCTTTCTGGACCAAATCTGCTAAGGCATTGGGATTTGAGGACGTCAGACTACCATGCCTCTGTTTTCATAAACTCTAAACAAAGGGCTAGGCTACACAAGGTCATTTACATGCATGTGACTGAATAAATGATGGCAGGAAATGCCAGTCTAGTCCAGTGCTGAATGTGGGAATTAGAACGCTTTGATGGCATTTACATGCTGGTAATACTGTTGCCTTTTTGTCTAT